TTTCTGGTAGTTTGTTATCAGGTTCATAACCTTTTCTTCCACATTGTCTAATATCAATCCCACCTCGTGAGTTTTTCTTTCCAGATATTTCATTTCTCGGCTCTAGAAGTTCCATGTGGCTCTCTCATACCTCATATTTCTCTTCTCACCAGTTCAAGTTTCTTTAAAGTCCTTGAACGTTTTCCAAAGCTAGTAGTTGCTCTGAAGTGAAACCCTTGTCTTTCAGTTCTGTTGTCTCTGTCCTTTGTGAGTCTGTTTTCATTCGCTGAATTTTCTCCTGGGTTAGAGGGGGGTCACATTTTCCTATGGCTTCACACATCTGGAGGTTTGGTTTCGGATACTGAGTGTTGTGAATTCCATGGGGTCGTGTGGTGGATTTCGTTGTCTTGAAGTGCGTTGGTTCTGCTGCTGGCTGCTGGGTTAGTGGTGGATCAGCTGATCCTGCGGAAGCTTGTTTCTGAGATTTTTTTTAGTAAAGGGAACTGGGTGAAGCCTTTACTTGAGGGCCAGTTTTGCTCCCTTGCTGAGTGGGGTACAACGAGGGTTCCCCTGGACTAGCAACACATATGGCACATCTCCTAGGCCACATCCTCTGGCCCTGGGCCCTGCCTAGGGGGATTGCCCCTGAGCCTTCAAGGGGAGCAGCTCCGGGCCCCGAGTACAGGCTCCAGGAGAGCCTTCTGCACTGCCCCCTCCTCCGTGGGCCTCTGCCCACACATCCGGTGCCTTCAGCCTCCCCAGCCCTTGATCTGGAAGTTTTCTTAAGGCAGTGAGCTGGGCAGGCAGAGACTGCCACAGGGGTCTACAGCATTTGGGGTTCTCCTGAGCCTGCCTGCCCCACCCTGGACTTGACTCAGAGGGAAGGTTACGAATTGATGAATTATGCAGCCAACTTTATTCCAGTAGGTTCTTGGAGGTGATAGGCTTGATGTGTTTTGAGTTATTCAAATTAAATATGTTTGCTTTATAGTAAATAGCCGAGAACCTTTGTTTAGAAAAATAAAAACCTTACTTTGATCTAAAAACAGATTTCCATTGCAAGTAGCAAACCTCCCCCCACAACAAAACAGTGTGTGCCAAAGGCCACTTGAGTGGATGTTAGAGACACACAAGCGGTTTTAGTACATTTTAGAACTCTTTAGAGATTTCTCTTTTCTTAAGCATTTTCATAACAATTTTAATTTCGTTACCCTTCATTGAAATGTTGCTGGGCCTCTGAGCTGGGAGTTTGTGGCAGGTGGGGTGGTCACATGCCGGTGTACAGGACACTCCAAATCAGATTCCTGCAGCCCCAACTGGGACCTATGGTTCCTCCTGGAAATCTTAAGTGGGGCAGGGGGGCGGTGGGCACAGTGGCGAACAGGTGCCCCATGTGGAAGAGTTTGCACAAAAGGTCAAGGTAGTCTGCCCTGGGGTGGAGGAGCTGAGTCAGGCAGCCTCATTAACCCCGATTACCAAGGGTGGGTCCTGCTGGGCCTGTAAATGTGGCTAGGACTGTGACCAGCTGTCCACTGCTGGGTGGCGTGGCCTGAGAGCCGTTAGAGCACATCGTGTCATCCATTGAGTGTGAGGGCACTGGGGGCTGCTTCTCCCTTTGTTCTAATGTCTTAGCAGGTGGGGCCTCTATCCCCCTGCCTGCACAGGGCTGGTGGAACATAGCTGGGTCCAGTCCTGGTGCCTCTTTTTGTTAGGGGCTATGGATGGGGCCTGTGGGGAGTCACCCAGGTATGTATGTGATAGGATATGTGAACGGCTCTGCTGTTGACAAGAAGGGCCTGGTTCTCCTGCTGAAGGGAGGAGTCACCATGAGAACCAGGGGCCTGGTTCTGTGACGATAGCCCGCGTGGGGACATGTACTTGGCATTGTTGAGAAAGCCTGGGCTTTTGGGCCTCTCTGCCAGCTTCTCCAATGGGTAAAGTCACGGCTGTTGGGGAATGAGTGACTGCAGGAAAGGAGTCTTCTAGATAACTTGCTTGACAGCTTCCAAACCAGTTAAATGCTTTACCAGATGGCCCACGGGGAGCATGCGGTCCAGGGGGAGGGTGGCCCACCACACCAGCTGGTGGGGGTGCTGGTTGTTGGTGCCCAGGCACTGCTGGGGCTGCCCTGGTGGGGTTCCTTCTGGGGAGATGTGCCCTTTCAGGTTCCTCCCCATTATTACTCTAAATCCAGACTTGCATCATTACCGTTGTCATGGCCCCTGTCCCCCAAGCCCCTAGAGCCCACAGGCCTTGCCCTGTGTTGATAGCAGACACACACGGCCCTTGAGTTAGCCCCAGGCTGGCTCACATGGGGGTCTGGGCCTGCAGACCTGGGGGTCCGAGAAGCAAGCCCCAGGAGCTCTCTGCCACTGTGGCATCCCGTGTGTCTGCTCTGGGCTTTGTGCCTGCTGTTCTCTCTGCCAGGAGCAGCCTGCCTTCCTGTCCTTGACGATCAGGTAAGGTAGGTAGAGAGTTCCCGAGGACTGCTTTGCCTTAGCTGTGGTGTTCGTGTGTCTTCTGCTGTTTTCTTCCATCTGCTCTATATCCTGCACTGGAAATGGTTAACAGACTGGAATATCTCCCCTGGGTGTTCAGGAATCTTCTGGGTTCAGGTGATTGCCCAGGAGTCTGCAGAGAAAGACCCTCCGTGAGCCTGAGGGCAGGTCGCAGCTGTCACGGAGGTGTGCTGAGGGTCGGTGGAACTTACCCATTTTAGGTGTAGAGTCTGTGAGTGTTAACACACCGCCCTAGACCTTGCCTCCTGCAGCCACTCCCTGCTCTCGCCCGTGGCCCAGGCACTCACTGATCTGCTTTCTGTCTCTTTGGTTTTGCCTTTCCTGGACACGTATGTGAGCAGAGTCACGCGGTGCAGGGTGTCCTGTGTGGAGGCGTGCTTACTTACTAGGCAGTGGCTTTGAGGTTTGTCCATGTGTCCACCCGGAGTTTGTTCCTTTCCTTCGGGGTAGTTTTCTCTTGTTACCCAGTCCGCCGGTTGGTGGATGCTTGGGTTGTTGCTGCCTTTTGGATCCTGCGAGTAATTCTGCTGTGCACATCTGTACCTACGTTTTCGTGTAGACCTATATTTTAATTTCTCTTGGGTCTGTCCCTTTGAGTGGAAATGCGGGGTCATATGGTAACTGTGTTTAACCTTTTTTAGAAACTACCAGACCATTTTCCACAGTGGCTTTGCTGTGTGAGCTCCCACCAGTGTGTTGGGTCTTGTCCTTATTGGTTTAGCCATCCTGATAAGTGCATGGTATCTCCTGCGAAACCTGCATCTTCTCGTGAGCTCATCGGCCACCTGCAGGTTTTCTTTTTGGTCTCTGTCTTTAACCCAATCCCAAGCAAAGACCTCTTAAATGTTGTGTCTCCAAGGGCCCAGCCAGGCCAGGGACCCCACAGGTGCTGTTTCTTATTCTCTGAACATCAGCGCAGGGGGTGATCATAGCTTATAGGATGGGTCAGCTGGTCCTGAGCCTGCTTTGGGGAAGCCTGGCCTCTGTCTTCGAAGCACAGTGACCCTCCGAGGCAGGGGCTGGTTTCCAGTCCTGGAGCCGGATGAGGGGCTGGAGGATGTCCCACGTCTGACAGCCTGGCAGCGAGAGGTGACGTGCTTTGGAAGTGTAGGCTGTGTAGGAAGTGTCAGCCGGTTTCTAGGGTGTCAGGTAAGTGCTGGTGCTTGGTGTGGTCTCTCAGGACATTTGGAATTCTGCCCCAAGTTCACTGACAAGCTGCTGCAGATGACAAGAGTCCTTGAGATTTGGCAAAAGAGTGAGCTCTTGGTAAACAAAGTATGGGTTGGGGGGGAGCACATGCGTGGCTTGTGTGGGCCGTGCCTCCCTCATACGACCACAGCCCTCAGCCGAGCCCCTGACGGACCCACGCACGTCGAGAGTTGGTTGGTCCTTCCCGTGATTCTAGAGAGCTGCTTCACCCACCCAGGGTCCGTGGTGGGCCTGACAGTCTGGGTGGGGAGCAGACAAGTAGTCACTCCAGACACCTGGGGTCTAGGAGTGTGGGGACCAGCTGGGGGGTGCCTCCTCTCACTGCCAGTCAGGCTGGGGTGCAGACCGGAGGGCAGACTTGGATGGAGATGGGAGGCCCAGCCATCTGGAGGAGGCTGCGGAGGACATTGGGCACAGAAGCAAGGAGGGTTTGGGGGCAGAGGGAAGCGGTTCTGATGACAAACGAGGGCCATGCCATGGGGTGATAATGTGTTGTACAGAAGGTGGGTGCTCGGGCCCAAGATGGGTGAGAAAGAGTTAGGTGCGACCCTCCATCTGGATCCACGTTCTTTCTGAAATTCTAACAGAAGGCTGATCTCTGAATAGCTGAAGCTTAAAGTATTTTGAGTTTTTATGTATATTTTTTCTTGTGACATTTGGAAATTCCGCCACCCCAGGCTCAGTGACAAACTGCTCTGAAGCTGTCATGTGGGGGTGAGTAGGCCTTGGGCCCTGTCCTGGGAGCCTTCTGGCCAGCAGTGCTCATCCATCGTGATTCCCGGGGGTGTCTCCGGGGCAGGGCGGTCTGGGCTGATGTTGGTCTGGGGGGAACAGTGAGGGGCTGCCCATTGCCTGTGTCTCCATTATGACCTCTCATCTACCTGCCCCCGTGCGGTCCAGGAACTCCTACTGAGGCTTCAAAATCCTGCTCCAGAGACCTTTCCTGTGATTTTTAGATGTGTGTGTGTTTTCTCTTGCCTCTTCTGAAAACACTGTCCTTACCTACTCTTTTTTTTTTTTTTTAAAGATTTTTTATTTCTTTATTTAACAGAGAGAGAGATCACAAGTATGCAGAGGCAGGCAGAGAGAGAGGGGGAAGCAGGCTCCCTGCTGAGCAGAGAGCCTGATGCGGGCCTTAATCCCAGAACCCTGAGATCCTGCCCTGAGCCGAAGGCAGAGGCTTAACCCACTGAGTCACCCAGGTGCCCTGCCCTACTCTTTCTATAACTGGGAAGTGAGTCTTGGATTTCGAGGTATCTTTATTGACATTTTCCCATTTTGCTTTTTTTGCAGGAGTCTGTTTCACTGAGACCATCAATCCGATTTCAAGGAAGTCAAGGGGTGAGTGTTCTTTGTCTTAAGCACATCCGGAATTGTGGCAGCACGCTCTCTGGACTGTCTGGCCTGCTGCGTGCGGAAGCAGGCTGGGGACAGCATTTTGGTCCCATCTCTGTGTGTCAGGGCAGGTGCTGGGCCGAGCTAAGGTCTGCCAGGTTGGTCCCACCGGGGCCATACCAAGAGGCTCTCTGGGGTGAATGCAGCTTTTCTATCCAGCAGTCCCTCAGTCTCCCCTTCCTTCCTGTAGCCAATGCATAGCTGACTCCCAGACCCCCAGGTCTCTGTTCTCATCTCATCTCTGCGATGATTCAAAACAGGGGTGTCCCAGGGGCCAAGCAGGCCTGGAGCTGTGGCCTCCCCAGGACCTGGTTTGTTGGTACACCTGGGACCATGGGTGTCTGATTTTAGTACTGGGCTACTGATGGGGGAAGGGGGTTGTTATAGAAACTGAGCACTCCATGTTTTCTGAAACGCATTTATTTCATTCTAAACGACCATCTTACAGAAAAATTGGAGAATAAAAGGAAGGATGAGTTGTCCACAATCCTTGCCCCCCAAGGCTTGGACATCCCCCATCCCCGTATCCTTCACCCACCAAACATGCCTTGGAACATTTCAGGTTTTTTTCTGGTCTTTATTGCAATTCTTTTTTTTTAAATCTGAAGTGTTGCTGCAAGTGTCTGAGTCAGTTTTCACCTGACAGCTGGCCGGCTGCCTCCTTATGGAGGAGGTCTGTGGGTTTCACCCCCTGCCAGCATGCTCTAGAGAGACAGGGCCTGTAGAAGGGCCTGTAGAAGATCCGTGTGTCTGTGTGCAGATGCAAAGATACCTGAAGATACATTGTAAGGCATTGGCTCCCACAGTTGTGGGGCTGGTGAGGCTGAAGTCCATCTATGGGGCAGGCAGGAATGGACACTGTGGTACACAGGAGAGCTTCTTTGTCCCCAGGGAAACCTCAGTTTCCCTCTTAAGCTCTTCAGCTGATTGGATGAGGCCCACTCAGACCATTGAGGGTCATTTTCTTGAAATCAGCTGGTCGTGGATGTCACCACATCTACAGAATACCTCCATCCAGATTAGCATTCAAGGTGTCACTTGGGGCTGTGGCCTGGCCAGGTGCATATGTGAACTGAACTGACCATTATGCCAAGACCTGTCAGGGTCAGCAAGACTCCCTGAAAGGCCCCAGACTCCCTGCTCCCCCCGCAGTGTCTCCTCTGGGACATCCTCATCTTTGTTGGGCCCCTTCGGGAGTCTTGTGGCAGCTTTCCCTTTGTCTTCCCTGGGACATTTCCCCAAGGGCAGAGGTCAGTGTTGGGGGCAGGACTCCCTGGGCTTGCTGCCAGGCTAGCCTTCATGGCGCCCTCTGGTGGCCAGTGATCCTGCTGTGCCCTCAGCAGTCCGGGAAAGAAGAGCAAGTGGATCCATGGAAAGGGCCACTGAATTCTGTGGCTTATCTAGTGAGCAGCATTTTCTGGTCAGCAAGACACCACACGACCACTCACAAAAGGCACAGAAGCACCACGAGGTCCTCTTGGGCCCTGCCTTGTGTTACCGAAATTTCTGTGCAAAGCCTCAGAACCACATCCATTTAACTTGGAGGCCCTCCACCTCAGATTTAGAATCATGTTTTACCTGCTTTTTCTTCTTTTTGGATTTTTCTCATGTGTTACAGAGTTTCTAGAGGGTTCTGAGGGTACAGAGGTCCCGTGCTACAGCTCCGGGGAGGCCAGACTACAATTCTCCGCTAGGAGGTTTATCCCTGTGCAAGCCTGTGTGAGGGCTGGAGGATGCCAAATGGCGAGGAGGAATGCTCTTCTTTCCCTGCTTGCCGTGAGGTGTCAGGCACTAGGTCTGCCATCTGTTTTCTTAACCTTGTCCTTCTCCTCCTGGGCATTGATGGGATGCGTCCCCTCCTCACTGCCAGTTGTGATGGGCCTGGCGTGGTGCTAGGCACATAGCAGGCCACATCCACATAGTCACCTTGCTGCAGGAAGACGCAGGGCATCCGGGCTCTCACCTCCCACTTCTGGCCGCTCAGCCGCTTGTGGATAGCTGGGGCTGGAGATGAACCAGTAAGGTAGGCTGGACAGTGGTCAGTGGGGTGGGGCTGGGCAGGCTCATTCATTTTTCATGGTACATGGGCTGATTCCATGTTTGGCTCCTTGTAGGGTGACGGGGACCCTCTTTCCCAGAGCCCTATGAAGCTGACAGACTGAAGATTGAGACCCCATTTGTGGGCTCCTGAGCTCAGGGAGCTTGGCCAATTCTTTTCACCATGCCTCAGCCTCCTTGCCCAGGAGATAGGCTCTCTGCCTCAGGGGTCATGTGTGTGCCATTAATGAGTCCTTAGGAGAACCAGTGTCTTCCCTGCAGCCCAGAATGAGCTCGCTCAGCCTCTTATGTGTGTCCCCCTCCGTGCACACACCAGCATCAGGCTGTAGCATTGGAGGCTGCCCGGGTGGGGGGTGCCACTTGGCCTGGCCACTTCCCTGCCTATGCTTGCAAGCACCATGAGCCCACCCTGCCCAGGGAGGTGTGCAGCTGGGCCCTGGTGTTGGCCGCTTCCTTGGAGTGACTAATGGCATTTGCCATGGCGTCCAGAGAGCCTGGCCCGCCTGTAGCATGTTGGGCCTCAAGGGTGTCATGTGCCCCAGCAAGATGTTCATCCTTGTTTCATTTGCTGAGTACGTGTTTGTGCTTGCATTCTCGGCCTTGTCTTAGACACTACGCTGGCTGACATGGGCCCCTGTGGTCTCTGGTGGTCACTTCTAAGTTGTTAACCTCTGACAGGTGTGAAAAGTCAGCTCCAGAGGGGAAGAAAAACCCCCACCTGGCCAGCCCCACCCTGAAACTCTTCAGTTGATGAAAAAAGAGAAGTAGGGTCGGCATCCAGGGCTGTGAAGGGTCTTGGCATTTCCCTGCACTGCTCCAGGAGCCTCAGCTGCACTTTCTAGAATGAGGTTTGACAGCTCTGGTACGAGGTGTTTGACCAGTTTTTGTGTGTGTGGCCAGGAGCCGTCTCTGCAGGTAAGAATACACACAAGATTGAGCCACTAGGTGCCTGCTGCTGCGTCGTTTGTAACAGGGGCAATTTGGAAACGGTCTAAAAACTTTCTAAAATGGGGAGTTTCTGGGGTGCCTGGGTGGCTCAGTGGGTTGAAGCTTCTGCCTTCGACTCAGGTCATAGTCCCGGGGTGCTGGGATCGAGCCCCGCCTCAGGCTCTCTGCTCAGCAGGGAGCCTGCTTCCTCCTCTCTCTCTGCCTGCCTCTCTGCCTACTTGTGATCTCTGTTAAATAAATTTTTTAAAAAAATTTATAAAATGGGGGGTTTCCGAGTTGGGGGCCAACCATGTGCCAGGGTTGAACAGAGTGCAGGGGCTGTGCGCTCCCTCTCCTGAGCCTCCTGGGTCAGTGAGCACTTGAGGGTGGCTTTTGGAATGCAGGCAGGTGCTTGCGGTGCATCCTGGGGCTGGGGCTGAGGGAGTGCCCCTGGGCGGAAGAGGGCGCTTTGCTCTTGGAAGTCCAGTTCAGCAGTGGTAGTTCTCTTTACCCAGAATACGTTTTATTCTGAAGCTTCCTTGGGAAGTGACAGTAAGGAGGAGAACAAGTGATGTCTACAAACTCCTCTGGCCAGAGAGAGAGAAGCTCCTGGTCCGTTGATGTTTGGGTTCCTGTACATGCCTGTTGCCCTCGTTCTTGCCCAGATGGAATATCAGGTGCTTTCCCCCACCAGTTTTTGCCCCCAAGACTTGCTGTGTCTTTTCACAGCCCCCACCTGCACCACAGACGAGACCCTGCAGACCGGGGCCGGTGGCGGGGTGGGGGTGGTGGGGGACCGCAGAGGCAGGCCCTGCTTGGGACAGATTTCAAAGGCAGGAACCCCTGCCCCCTTGCAGACCTCAGAAGCACTCAGGGCCACAAAGGAAGGATAGACCCGTTTGCTGCTCCAGGTCTGTGTGCACAGATGCTGGATTAGGTTAATAGTGACCTAACCCAGAGTCCAGGCTGTCATCAGACCCACCCAAACCTGTGTGCTCAGGCCACCTGAGGGCCACATGGTGCCCCCCCGTGGGGGCAGCTGAGACTCGGTCTGGAAGGCACATGGTCCAGCCAAGCAGGGCTGTTTCGGGCCACATCCTGGAACATGTGCCAAGCTCTTTGCTGACCCAGAGAAAGCCATGCACTCCTGGGCTGTTCATGCCCCACTGGCTAATTTCCCTGCCTGGTTCCCGGTGACTGGTAACCAGTAACCGTTGTCACTTGGGAGCTGGCAAAGCAGCCTGTTAACCAGGCGATTCCACAGGCCGTGGTAGTGCTGGGAAGGGGCTGGGACTGACAGAACGGGCCACACCAGGCCCCTGGCAAACCTCCCTTCTACTTCCCTCCCTCCCCGACTTGGGTGCTCCCCGCTTTGTCCCGAAGGATACCAGAGACCTCAATGTGCGTCCTCCCCTGTCACGGGCAGCATCATGTTCTCGTCCATCAGTTTCATGCCCTGGGTTCCTTATCATCCTATGGCTCCAGGAGCTACACAAACCCACTTCTGGGCTCTGTGCTGGGACCCCCACTTCTAGAATGAATTTTGAAAGTGGGCATACCCACCTGCATGGTAAAGGTTTAGGTGGGGTAAGAGAGTGAAGAGTCCCCCACAGGCCCTACCCAGAGAGAAGCACGGTCACTTTGGCAGTCAGACCTGACCTCCTTCCCTCCTCTTAGGGGCGCAGCCCAGTTGCTGTCCTGAGCAGACTGAGGTGGAAAATGCCACCTGGGGAGGCCATGTCTCCACCAGACCAGGATGGGATAAGGGAGAGGTTCAAGAGAGAGGTGAAAAAAGCGCCCCCCCCGCCCCGCCACGGCAGCAGGTGTCCGGCTCCACTGGAAGCTGCTTTTGATTTGCTGACTTGGTGGCACTTGAGCGTCCTATGGCATTTTGGGCCACTGTGTCGGTGTGCGTCTGGCTCTGGGTGCATCTCCTGCAGTGACCCTTAGCAGCCTGAACCTTGGCCTCTGGGCAGCGTGTTTCCTGCTACTTCTATAAAGGAAAACAGGAGTCACATCCAAGAAGGGATGAGTGGAAGCGCAGGGTAGCCCCATGTGTTGGAAAGGAGATCCCACATGCGGGCAGGACAGGCCCCCACTGCAGGGTCTGGGAGCCACTCTGAGCCAGGCTGGCTCTCACTGTGCATATCCGGACCTCTCCTTGGGGCAGGGACTGACTGTATGCTGGGCAGGTCACTCAGTATTTGGGGACCAACTGTAGGCCAGGTGCATATGCAAGTTCCCTGCGGGTCCATGCACCACCCTGAGGGGAGAGGCAGGGAGGCCGTGGAGCTGGGTCAGGAGCAGCATCCCTTCTTATGGCCTGAGCCACTGTGTCTTCAGTGTCAGACAGGCTGAACTGCCCTGATTTACCTGTGACAGCGGAGCAGGGGTGGAATTCAGCTGCGCCGTGTTCAGTCCGGGGCTGATGAAGGGTGTTTGCGTGCTCACCTCATTGGAGAGGAAACAGGGCTTGGGCATACCGAGGTGGTTTGGCAGCCTGGGGGTGAGACCGGAATGCAGCCTGCCTATCCCCTTAACCTCCATTTACCACTCGTGCCCCCTTGTGCGTTTGCCAGCTGTGATGAGCTCTAGCACCCAAAACCCAGGGATTACTTTATGAGGGGTGACCACTGGTGACAGGGCTCTAGAGGCCCATCCTGTACCCTGAATATGGGCCAGCAACCAGAACATGGGGTCTTCCTACAAGTCCCTCCATAGCCCCTAGGACCTCACCGAGGGAGGGCTGGTCTGGAATCCTTCAGTGGCCTCTGGACACAAGGCTGTCCCACCTGTGCTGAGCCCTGCACCTTGGGTGGAATCATTGCTGTCTGCTAGCCAGGTTAGCCATCCTTTCTGCAGAGGCACTGCCCAAAGTGAGGTTTACATTAACCAAGACGTTCATCCTGTGTCACATCTAACCATGTTCCTGATTTGTTGGGGTGAGTGCTGCCCATCCATGAGCCCCTCAGGGCCTGCCGGGCAGTGACGGACACTCAGGTGGAGTCTGCATCGCACAGGGGAGCAAGGATTGGGGCATCTTGGCTGCTCCGTGTGCCCTGATGGCTCCTGATGCCCATCTTGTCTCATTTCATCTTCACGCACGTCCCAGGTCAGACCTGCCCCATATGCTGGGCAGGAAGCTGGGTCATGGCCCAGATCAAGCTGGGAATCCCTGTCTCTGGGTGTATGTTAAGCACTCTGCGCTCCTCAGACCGAAATGCCATTGCTGCTTAGAAAGTGCTAGCACATTCTCATTGTGTCAAGTTGTGGGGTGGTCTGGGGTCCAGTGGATGGGCCATTCCATGGTTCCCCACCCCCATGCTCCTGTGTTGTGAACCTCCCAGTGATGTCTCCCATTCTCTGCACAGCACATCTCCATCCCCCAGCCTGACTGCCCCACAGAGGCACGGACGTTCTCCTTCTACCTCTCCAACATTGGCCGTGACAGCCCCCAGGGCAGCTTCGACTGCATCCAGCAATATGTCTCCAGGTGAGGTCCCACCCGGGCCCAGTGCCCCCTTCTTTTTCTTCTTCTTCTTCTTTTTTTTACATAAGTTTATTTATTTAAATAATCTCTATACACAACATGGGCCTTAAACTCAGGACCACGGGATCGAGAGCCTCATGCTCTACATGCTGAGCCAGCCAGGCTGGCCCGGTGCCGCCTCCCTTTCTCCGCATGAGCCTTGCTGCTGCTTTCACCGTGTCCGGGGCGTGGGTACAGGTTCTGGCCTGCTGCTGCCTCTGCCCAGGGTCCTGGGTTCCCTTGTTTCTTCCAGATCGAGACGTGCCATGTGGAAACATGCTGCTCAAGTTAGCCCTGACCCCATTTCCCAACTGGGGGTCGTGGGGTGGGGGGCGGCACGGGCTCCTAGACCGTCTGTCCTTGTCATCCCAGGAGTTCACCTTGGCTCCTGGCCCCTTATCTTACAGCCGCGGGGATGTTCACCTGGACTGCCTGGGCAGCATCCAGGACAAAATCACAGTGTGTGCCACCGACGACTCCTACCAGAAAGCACGGCAGAGCATGGCACAGGCCGAAGAGGAGACACGGAGCCGTGGGGCCATTGTCATCAAGGCTGGAGGCCGCTACCTGGGTGAGGATGAGGCTCGGGACTCCCACCTGTCGGGGGTTCGTGCCTGCTGGGCACCTGTGGCAGGGGCGGGGGGAGCAGGAGAGACTCAGGGCCTGTCCTGGCCAGGAGCTGGAGGTATGGGTTGATGGGTGTGACCCCAAGCAGGGTGAGCCAGGTTGTTGTTGGGTCAAAAAGGAAGGCCCCATTACACTGGATGAGTCAGCTGGGGGCTGTGACATCTGTCCATTACCCAATTTGGATAAGAGCCCCAAGAACTCTAGGAATTCCAAATCCACGGGCCCCTCTCCTAGGCTCTGGCCTCAGGGATCTCTACCTGTCAGAGAGAGAGTGCTCCTCGAGGGCTGCGGTTTGTCCTCTTCTAGTGGCCACCCCTGCCCTCACCTGCCTGCCCAACTCTTCCCCAAGACCGACACAGCCAGTGGCAAGGTGCACATGGCGAGACGTACCCTGTGGCAAGAGGCCTGCTGCTGGGTTGGGGCCAGTGAGGGGCTGTCGGGTCACACCTGAGAAGGAGATGTGTTGACCCCTGCCAGATGAGAAGGCCCTGGCAGTGCATCATCTGTTTGGAAGCAGTTTTGGTGAAGTTGAGACACCCCCTATGTGGAGAGTGTGTTTACTTAGGAAGCTCTGTGGCTGCTTTAGGCTTCCCAGCACCTAGGCCCAAACAAATTCATGAGTCATCAGGATTCAAGGCCAGGAGGAAGGGTGTTAGGCCTGAGGGAGACACGGAGTGGCTTACAGCAAATGGCTTTGAGGGCTTTTCTTTTTTAAGAAAAGGTAGGAGGATTTCAAAGACCCCCGCAGAGGAGCACGTGATTTCACTGGCTTGGCGGTGGGATTGACTCTGGACAAAACCCCAGACGTCCTTGCAGGAGTCCGTGCTGCCAGTGAATGCTGCGTCCAGGCGGACGTGGCTGTGCGTGCTGTGGGAGCCTGTGCTCTGGGATGTGAGCCACTGCTGGGGACGGAGCCCACCCCCCACACCCCCAGAGCTGCAGCCAGAATCCCAGCATGCTTCCCCTGCCTGCTGTCACCTCGATGTGCAAACGTGAACGTGCCTACACATCTTCATAAATTTTTGGTCCTTTAGCCTAAAACTGGGACAGAAATGCGACTTCTTTGGTCACTTAGGGTACAGCAAGAGTTTTGCAGCGGTTTCGGTTCTGGCGGAAGCACTTGTCCCCTGGCCTCTGAAGACAGACATGCATGTCCCACTGTGTCAAGCCTCTCGCTGACCCTAAGCCTGACCCTGAGGATTCTGATAGCACTTCTTCCTGTGTTAATTTGACAAATGAGATTTAAGGGATGAGAACAAAAACAAACAACAAAAAGTCCTCACGGAGAGCTTTCTGGCCCAAGTTCATGAGGCATGCACTGCCTGCCCTTGGCCGTGCATGTTCCTCAGGGGCGGTGCTGCTGTCCAGAGTGGAGTTCACAGTTTCCGAGCAGAGGCCCCTCCGTCCAGAGCAGAGCTGGAGTCTATTTGCTCTGGAAGGGTGGGGGGATCTGGCTGCTGCCCCTGGGACTCTGAGCATAGCCATGTCTGCCCAAGAAGTGCTTGATGGGGCTGCAGCCAGGGAGCTGCTCTTACCCCCCGGCATCTCCAGAGAAGCTACCCAAGCGGCCCGATGCCTTTGTTCAGTCCTCCTTTTTCATAAAAGTGAATGGGGGATCCTGTGGGGCCAGCATAGTGCTGTGATGTGTAGGCTCTGGGGGCACCTGCCTCGGACCATTCAGGAACCCCACTCTTTTTACTATCGGCCCCCTCTCCCTGTAGTGGTTGGGCTGCCGGTGATGAAGTCCATTCTGTCTCCTGTAGTTCCAGCTTCTGACGCTGGGGGCCCTGCAAACCCCTGCTGAGCTCTGTGCGGTCAGCAGGTGGTGCTCTTAGCTGTCCTGGGTCTCCACTGAGCCGCCCAGGCAGGGCCCGGCTCAGACTGCCTTCCCCTGGGGCTGGCGGCCATCGGTGGGCATCCTTGCACTCGTTCCGAACTTGGCATCCGCCCCAGGCAGAGGGACACTGAGGGACAGCCCTCACCCCCTCACATCCCTAATGCCTTGGCTCTTGTTGCAGGCAAGAAGGTTCAGTTTCGGAAACCAGCCCCGGGGGCCACGGACGCTGTCCCTTCCCGGAAGCGGGCGACCCCCATCAACCTGGCCAGTGCCATCAAGAAGAGCAATGTTGGTGGCATTAGCGGGGGCAGTGGGGTGTCTCAGAGGCCTTTCCGCGACCGGGTGCTGCACCTCCTGGCGCTGAGGCCCTACCGGAAGGCCGAGCTGTTGCTGCGGCTGCAGAAGGACGGCCTGGCCCAGGCGGACAAGGATGCGCTGGATGGCCTCCTCCAGCAGGTTCGTGCTTGCCCGGGGCCAGGTTGAGGGTCCAGTCAGCCTTGAGTGGCTCCTGCACCGGGTCTGGACACAGGGCGGCTTGGGAAGGGCCCTTCCTGGGGTCTCTTCCAGGAGTCTCAGCCTGCCTCAGAGCCTCGGCCTTCTCGGTTAGGACGTGCTTAGGGCTGTCACGGACATGTCCCTGGTCGTGGTGCTTGCTGTCCAGTGGCCCTGAGGTTGGTCAGTGTGAGGTCAGCACCCTAGTCTGCACCGTCTGCAAACACACAGGCAGCAGGCACAGCACACAGGAAACTGGACATCAGTTGCCCAGTGATTGTAGAATCCAGAGAAGCCTGGGTAACCGCAGAGCTCAGCCTCCTCAGTCAGGCAGCTTCCCTGCCACTCGCCAGCCGCAGCCCTGGGCAAGGGGCTTCACTAGTGGACCCTCGGGCTGCTGTGTGTGGCCACAGCTTGACTGCAGCGCCTTGTGCGGGGTGAGAGGCTGAGCTGGGGGGAACGTGATGTCAGCACATGGAGCCTGCTATTATGGAAGAGCTCAGGCCTCGGAGCAAGAGCTGTAGGCCTGGCCGCTTCCCCTACGCCCTTCCCTGTCTCCCAGAGCCTGTGGAGGGAGCTGGAGGACCCCCGGGAAGGTGAACAGCTTGTTCTGGCCTCACCACGTCAGCTGGACCATGCAGCTGCCTTGGGGCCCTGCCGAGAGGTTCACTTGGCTGGCAGCGGACAGTCCTGTCCTGTGGAGGAGGCACGCTTGAACCTCGAGGGGTTCTGTCCTCCAGCTCACTTGTCGCCCTTACATCCTGCCTCAGACGCTCTGGGTGCACAGACAGCGCAAAACTCACATGCTGTGATAATGAGTAGTTGTGTCTGAAGATGAGCTATGGGGCTCGCTGCCCCTCGTGTCACTGGGACTCTGGCCTCAGGGGCACCACTTGCTGGGAAACTCTGGATATGGTCTCTTTTGTTTTAAGGGTTCGTGTGAAGGCAGGAGGGAGGTGGGCAGAGGGAGAAAGAATTCTAAGCAGGCTCCATGTCCAGCACGGAGCCCAACACGGGGCTCGATCTCACGACCCTGAGATCATGATGAAATCAGGAGTCAGCTGCCTGACCAACTGAGTCACCCAGGTGCCCCTGGATTTGGCCTCTTGAGCCACTCTCCCCCGCCCGGAGGTAGCGCAGGTGAGGACCAAGCTGCGCAGTTCTCCCTCTGAGCATACGAGTTGGCCCAAGGCCTGTTTAGAAGATAGACGTGTAGCTTCACGGCTCAGAAGTTTTCTTTGGCAGAGGGGCCTATCAAAGCATCCGGAAAGCTCCAGAACCAGGAATGATGTTCTGAGGGGATTGGTTTCCTTGGAAGGTCACAGGTGTCAGCCTTATCCTTGGGAACTCAAAGGAGGCACAGTGGAGGCCCTTCCCCTGGGCTGGAACTCGGAGAGAATGAGGCAGGGCTGGCAAAATGCCGGGTCTTTAGACATGAGCCAGCATTGTCCCTGGGTGTGCTGCAGCTTACACTGCTGGCCGGTCAGGCTGCCATCAGCCCCTACTGTGGCATTCTTGGAAGTGGCCCTTGCTCCCATCTTCCTCTCTCGCCCTGTTTGTGCCCAGAATAAAGAAGAAGCACATGAGCCCCTCAAATGCAGAATGTGGAACTTGGCTGACCAAGCACACAGTTAACATCTGAGATTTACCCTCTGAGCAACCCTCGAGTGCAGCCAGCAGGCCAGGCTTGGTTTTTGAAGAGCTGGGGACCTGTTGGTACTGATGTCATTCTGCCCAGGGTGCCTGCTTTTCTAACCTCTGAGATGCTGCCGTTGCTCCCAGCCCTTGCTCGGGATCAGAGAGGCCCCGTGCTGGGCTCCAGCTTCTCTGGTTGATTCGGATTCAGCAGCCTTCTGTGGGGCAGCTTATCTGGTGTCTGTGGGCAGAACATCCCCCCCATCTACTCTGTTTTCTTTGAATGGCCCCGTCTGCTTTGTGCTTCTGTATTTACTACCCAGCATGTCCTCCCTGGGGGCTGGGTGCAGTAGCAGGACCCCAGCAGCTTGAGGAAGGGGAAGGTCTCGGGGGATACCATGGGCTGGTCATTTCCAGCCTCCCCCCAAGCCCCCCTCGAGGGATCAGGGATTCTGATGAGCAGCACAGATGAAATCACACTCTTCAAAGGCACCTTCTCTTTTCCTTCTGTGAAAACATTTGTCTCCAGTGCTGGCGGGGCCTCAGAGAAGCCCGGAGGCTCATCCTCTGTGGGAGGGAGTGTGAACGGGTGGGTGGCTCTTCTGGGGAGCATTTTAGCAAACTGCTTCAAGAGCTGTAAAAATGTTCAGAGCCTTTGACCCACTCATCCCACTTCTGGGAAGCTGGCCGAAGGAAACCGTCACCAGCGTGGGAGAACCTGCACACAGTGGTGTCTGTTTAAGCTACAGAGAAACTGGAAATGGCATCCAGTGCAGATGCTTGGTGGAATATTACTCAGCCATTAAAAAATGCTCCCTGTGGAAACCCTTGTGACCTGGAGTCCCCTTAGAAGCCTGTGGTAGTGGGACGCCTGGGTGGCTCAGTGGGTTAAGCCGCTGCCTTCGGCTCAGGTCATGATCCCAGCGTCCTGGGATTGAGTCCCACATCGGGCTCCTTGCTCAGCAGGGAGCCTGCTTCTCCCTCTGCCTCTGCCTGCCACTCTATCTGCTTGTGCTCACTCTCGCGCTCTCTCTCTCTCTCTGACAAATAAATAAATAAAATCTTTAAAAAAAAAAAAAAAAGAAGCCTGTGGTAGTGAAAACGGCTGCTGTCACACCAGCTTCCCCGCAGGTGCGTGCCATGGGCCCAGTGAGGCTGGCACAGGGGCTCCCACTTGGGAGCGGGGCCTGAACTTCTTCAAGTGCCCTTAAGGTCGATGTTCTGAGTCCAACTTTGCCATCTTGGAGACAAGCTCGGCCGAAGTTAATCAGCCTGAGCAGGGCTAGCTGGCTGCGGGGAAGATGGACTTAGCCTGGTCCCTGGGGGCCCTGGCTCCCCCACCTGCCGCCGTCTCTGCCACGGGAGTGCATGTCCAAGAGGGGGTGTCCCGTCTCTTCAGACTGCTCTACTGGAGTAACATAAACTGGGAGGCTTATGAACAACAGATGTTTACTCCTTGCGGTTCTGGAGGCTGGGAAGTCCTAAGGTCAAGGCACCATAAGATTGGATGATTGCTGAAGACCCCCTTCCCGGTTCACAGACTGTCTTCTCACGGTGTTACCACGTGGCAGGGGTGGGGAGGGAGCTTCTGGAGTCTCTTTTACAGGGACACTGGTCCCATTCATGAGGGCTCCACCCTGATGACCTGATCACCTCCCAGAGGCCCCACCTCCTAATACCTCATTTTGGGTGCTGAGATTTAACATGAATTTTGGTAAGATGAAAACCTTCAGTCCATAACAGGGGAGGCCGGTGCTGGGGTCCTGGGAGTGTAGACGGCAGCCCCTCCTGCTTTGGAGCCGACGTGTCTTCCAGCAGCTGTAAGACCTGGGTGTCAGGACCTGGTGTTCGGATCCTTTTGCAACCCAAGGCTTGTTGCCCCAGTGTGCAGGGGATTGGGGGAGTGCTGTCCTCTTTCCCCTTGTGTGTCTCTGCCCCCCAGCCTCCATCACCTACTTTCAGTAACTTCTGCCTCTCCTAGGCTTCCAGCAAGGTGATCCTGTCCCTGTCTTACAGGTGGCCAACGTGAATGCCAAGGATGGTACGTGCACATTGAAGGACTGTGTATATAAGGACGTGCAGAAGGACTGGCCTGGCTACTCGGAAGGGGACCAGCAGCTGTTGAAGCGGATGCTTGTCCGGTAATGCCGCCTCCTGTGCCTGGGCATGTCCCTGCACCCTGGTTCTGGAACAGATGGCATCCTGAGGGTGCTAGGGTGGCCTTGTGTGGTCCCAAAGGTCATAGGGCCCTTGAGCAGGATGGAGGGATCTGTGGAGACTCTCTGGCAGTCTTTCCCACTACCTGGGACACTTCAGGGTCGGGCCAGCACCTGCTGAGTGGAGTGAAGGGTGCAGGTCACGTACCAGAGCCCCAGAGTGCCCACACAGGACGCTTCGGTCCGCTCTGCTTGTTCCATGCTTCCTTTCCCGTCAAGTGCCCTTCCAAAACCTGCGCAGCCCCACAGGCTTGAGCTACAGGCCGCCTCCTTCTTTAAAAGAACCTCCCAAGAACTTGAAGCAGAGAGAAACAAAGCAAAACAAAACTCCCCACAGGCGTGATTAAGTAGCATTAATTAAACACATTCCCCTTCAGATTAATTGGGACCCGAGGTCAGGAGTGGACTTGGTGGCTCGGGGGAGGAGTGGTTAAGTAGGCCCCTGCCTGGCTCAGGCGAGCAGTTAATGATTTCCTTCTCGGCCGATGCCTGACGGGAGCGCAGGCTGTGAAGCGCCGCTCGGAACTGGCTGATACACTAATTAGTCTTTAAATGATTTCTCAGGGACTTGAGTTATTTATGTGGTTGTGGGTTTTTTTTTTTTTTTTTTTTAAGCTCAGCTGTTTAAAGCAGTAATTGCATGTAGACTTGGGGCAACTCTAGGTGAACCCGGAGTTCCTCCTCAGCCCTGCAGGACACTCCTCCCCAAACCAGTACCTGCTTCTGAACCAGCCTGGGGTCACCACTCCGACTGTCCAAAGGTCATGGGGGGCTTGAGGAGCTGTTCTCAGCAGAAGACCGCTCCCACCCCCATCCTCTTTCTGGTGTTTCCTGTTGTAGCAGCTAAATGCGCCTGGGGTTGGTTCTGTCACCTACAGGTGTTTTGATCCATCAGACATTTTTGGACAAAGAGTCTGGTGTTGAATTGGTCAAATTTACCCACCAAAGTGCTTTGAGGTGACAAGGCACGCATTAGGGACACTGCAAGGCTATTCCTGCCCTCCCTTCAGAGTCTCTTGCTGGGTAGCTTCTGTTCTCAGAACCCGAGGGCCTTGGCCGCACAGAGTGCTCCAGGAGGAGCGTGGCCAAGACCAAGTAGCCTTGTTGTGTGTTGGTGTGTAGGTGGGTCAGTAGGAATCTCGGCTCTGGAGCTTTGTGTCATTCCGGGCTCCTTCTCCCTGTTCCTCCCTGCTCCGATGAGTGAGCTGCCGGGCCTTGTGTGAACCCAGGGCTCTCAGCCTTCACCTGGACCAGCAAGGCCAGCACCGGGGCCCTGCTTGGGGATCAGCCGTGCCAGAAACCACTTGTTGCCAGCAGCACCTGCTGTCCTTGGAAGCTTGGTCTCGTTGGTGTGTGAAGGTCACCGTCGGCATCCTCGATGCCAGCAACTGCCCTAAAGGTTACCCAGCCACCTGTCTGCGCACTTTTTTTCCTTCAGTTTAGGTTGTTCCCTCCCTGAAGAAAACCCAATTTATAGCGGTTCTTGAAGTCTCGCAGCAAGAAGGAAAAATAAGGCCTTGGGGTATTTCTGTCGCTGAGGATTGGTATCACCCAGAAGCTGGGCTGCCTCCTTTTCCTACAGCTTTTTCAAAATCATACCTGACCTAAGTATGCTGATGCTTCCAGGGTCAGCCTGGGCCCCTGAGGCTCGGCTCTACATGGACACCTGCTGCCACCATCATTTTGATTCTTCCTCTGTGTTTGTTTCCTGTGTGAGGGGCTGCTGGGGCCCGTCCTGTCCCGGGTGTTCGAGGGCACTGCGAGGCCTCAGCAGCCGTGCCCAGCCCTGTAGTCACTCCCCTTGTGTCTTGTCTTTCATGTTAAGGCCATACTGTGTTGACTATTACGGCTTTAGAGTAGATCTTGAAATCTGGGATTGTGAGGCCTCCAGCCTTGTTCTTCTTTCTCACAATTCAGTGGTGTGAATTACATTTGCAGTGTTGTACAGCTGCTACCTGTACTAGTTCCAGAACACGTGCCCTAAAATGGAACCCCAAATGTCAGCAGATACTCCCGTGCCCCCTCCCCCCAGCCCCTAGCAACCACGAATCTTTCGGTCTCTGTGGATTTGCCTGTTCTGGATGTTTCCTATCAATGGGATCTTTGGGACTTTGGGATCTTTGGCCTTTTGTTTCTTTTAAAGATTTTTTATTTATTTATTTGTCAGAGAGAGAGAGAGAGGGAGAGAGAGTGAGCATAGGCAGACAGAATGGCAGGCAGAGGCAGAGGGAGAAGCAGGCTCCCTGACGAGCAAGGAGCCCGATGTGGGACTCAATCCCAGGACGCTGGGATCATGACCTGAGCCGAAGGCAGCTGCTTAACCAACTGAGCCACCCAGGCGTCCCTCTTTGGCCTTTTGTGACTGCCTTCTATCTGTGTATGGTTAGGGTTCACATAGGCCGTAACGTGTATCAGAGCTTCATTCCTTTACGTGTGCTGCGTGGGTATCTGGTGCGCGTGGAGATCCGCCACAGTTGTCAAGTCTGCTGATGCACCCTGGGGCCATCTCCGCCTCCCAGCATTGTGTCTGGGGTTCTGCGAACATTTGTGTACGAGGATATGTACGGACGTGGATTCTCCTATCTCTCAAGGAGGAGTGGAGTTGAGGTTTTTGCGAAACAGCCAGACTCTTTTCCACAACAGCTCCCGCTCCAGTGACACACACAGAGGTTTCTAGTTTCCCCCACTTTCTCACCAACACTTGTTCTTTTCCGTTCTTGTTTTGTTTTATTCCAGCCCTCCTAGTGGGTGTGAGGTAATATCTCCTTGTGGTTCTGACTTGCATTTTCCTGATGACCAATCACACGTACTTGTTCGTGTGCTTATTGGCCATTTGTGTATCATCTTTGGAGAAATTCTATTCAAGTATTTTGTCTTTTGGGGGATATTGAGGGTGGTGTTTCTATTGTGGATTTAAAGTTTTCGTTTGCTTAGAGAGTCTCTCTTTGCTTTCAAATGCTTTCTCTTGTGTCTTTTGGACTCTGACATTTGTTACCTGGAGGCCTCGGTGCAGCCCTTCAAGGCTTTTCTGAGTGGCTCCGTCCCCTCAGGAGGGCTGCCGAGGTTTCTCCGCACCCCTCATGGGCCCCTCTGTTTCCTCAGTCTCCTGAGGCCACACCTCTGTCCATCCCGTGGTCCAGGTGTGCCTGGAGCAGCCTGGCCTCCTAGGACACACTGTGGGTTCCTTCCCCACAGCCCCAGAGCAGAGCGGGGACAGCCCTGCAGGAGCCCCTTCTGTGAGGTCTCTGAGCTCTGGGCCGGGGGGTGCTATGGCCTGGGTCCCCATTTCCTTGGATCCTGTAAGATAGTCACTGTGTCTGCTTTCAGCATTAGATCGTGCTGCTCTTTTTTTTTTTTTTTTTTAAAGATTTTATTCATTTATTTGACAGAGATTACAAGTAGGCAGAGAAGCAGGCAGAGAGAGAGGAGGAAGCAGGCTCCCCGCTGAGCAGAGAGCCCGATGCGGGGCTCGATTCCAGGTCCCTGGGATCATGACCTGAGCCAAAGGCAGAGGCTTTTACCCACTGAGCCACCCAGGTGCCCCTCGTGCTGTTCTCTTTTCCCTTCCTCCTTCATGCATTTTCAGTGGGGGCTGGAAAGAGAGCGGATGGAAAGGGCTGCGCTTCTGTGTGGCTGGACAGCAGATATGAGCCACCTCGGCCGTGGCCAGTGCTTGCACGCTACAGGCACTTGCCCTGGGGCTGTCCTTACATTTGGGGCCACCACGGAGGGGACAGCAGCAGAGGCCTGTCACGTGGCCATCGGTCAAGGAGGTCTACTCAGCTCGTCACTACTCGGCAGTGCAAACAGGGTCCCCGTAGCCCCAGACCCCAGCTGGGCATGGAGGGCCTGCGGTCCCACACACTGCACCGGGCTGGCTGCTGGGCTCCCGTGAGACTTGCAGCCTCGGAATATGAGAGGGGATCAGAGGGTGACCTCAAGCCAGGGTCCCTAGTGGGGCCTCCATCTGCCCTTTGAGTGTCATGGTGTCTCTTTTCTTGTCCCTGGCTGCACTGTTGTGCTTGGGTACCGGTAGGCTGTTGACTGCCCCTGTCATCCTTGAGGAGGTACTGTCATGTTGGCTCCCAGGAAGGTGGGACCTGAATCCGGGAGTCCTTCCTGTCAGGCTAGGGCATTTCAGTCCCCTGCAGCATCTTTTAAGGTTTCTGCAGTAAGCATTATTAGGATGAATGATTGCTTTTTAAAGGAGGGGCTGGTGCTCGAGTGTGCCCAGCTCCCGCAGGGACACAGCACAGAGCTTGAATATCCAGTCAGTTTTACTCGGGTCTCTGGTCTCCACAGTGACGGGTGTCTGGGTGAGCGGGCGGCCCACTGAGCCTTCTCTGGGCATACAGGACTCCGGGTGGGCCATCCTCCGGGCTGTGGGTAAACCTGGGGTCGGGGGGGATGTGTTCGGGCTGCTCTCTGCCCGCCATGCCCTGAAGTACCCCATGTACTCGGCCCTGCTCTGGTTCATTGGGACAGCGGGCCCACCCTGAATCACTGGTGTAGGGGACACAGTGTGGCATCAGTGGGAAGGCAGGTTGTGGGGCCATACAGCTACCCCGCCTCTCCTCTGTAGGAAGCTGTGTCAGCCGCAGAGTGCCGTTGTCCTGCCCGGAGACCCCGCTGCCGCCAGTCCTCCCAGGGAACATGGAAACTCAGCCTCACCCCCTCAGGTAGGAGCAGTGGGCCAGGCTGGGACAAGGCACGGTGGCAGTGAGGGCGGAGGGTGGGCGAGGGGCCCGTGGGCCAGGCCTGAGCTGCGTTAGGGCTTGCTTCAGAGGCAGGTGTTTTCTTTGGTGACTGAGCAACTGCCCAGCCTTCCCCAGACTGGGCCCGGGCCCTCCGTGCAGTTCCCTCAAATGTTCGTGGGTGTTGTGGCCAAGGGAGGGCAGGCTCCCGGATTGCCCTGAGCCCAGTGCTCTGTGTACAGCAGGCATGGCAGGTGCACTGGCCTCCCAGGGCTGTCATGAAGGTTCTGTAGAATCGAGTGGGCCGGCTGCAGGCCTAGGGCCTTGTGAGCCGTGACCACTGCTGGTTCAGTCAGTAGTCAGGATGGGTGCTCAGGTGTCCCCACCTGTGTGCTCTGGCTCATGAGTCCCTCACCCTAAGTCCCTTATTTTCCCCCTTCGGCCTGGAAGCTCCTAGCGCATGTCCAAGGCCCTGAATCCTCCTTGAGGAGAGGTCAGGTCTGTGCCTGCCCTGGCCCTGGGCCAAAGTAGAGGGCTGACAGCCTCCTTACCCTGTTCCCCCCAATGGTGGGCCTGCCACCTTGCTCTCTCTAGTCATTTCCCAGGGTCTGGGCGATCCATGGTCTGGCCTCGTCTCACATGCCTCAGCATTCTCACTTGTGGAGTAAGGCTGCGCCTGCACCACGTCACAGGGTGTCCCTTGGGGATGCAAGTAGTCCTGGGTCTAGTGGGGAGGTGGGGGGAGTCCCAGCCTGAGGGGCTGCTGTATGTCCTTCAGACTTGGTCCTTTCACCATCCCCATCATCCAGGGATGACGCCGAACACTGCCAAGTTTCAGAGCAGTCTGTGGAGATGGCCCTTCTTGACTGCTCAGCTGGCTAGATCCATGGATGTTGCCCTTCCTTGGCTCTGTCAGGGTGAGCTGAGCCTAGGTTAGCAAGAGGCTGGTTCTTTTCTGGGTGTGCCCCCTTGTGGCCAGAGTGGGCCTTGCAGTTAGGCCCCAGGTTTCCTAGGGCCTCCTGAGCTCAGGGCCTATTGTTCCCCAGCTACTCCTCAGGAGACATCAGTGGCTCCAGACGCAGTCTCCCTTTTAAATTTGTTTCCCTCCCATTGCAGAAACGATCACAGCCTCCTGATTTCAGCGACTCCCTGGTCAGCAAGAAAACCAGGATATCACATTTTACCCAGAGAGCTCAGCCTGCCATCAATGGGAAGCTGAGTGCACCCCACAGCCGTGAGGCCCTGCTGCCCACTCCAGGCCCACTAGCTGGCTCAGACGCCCACCTGCCCCCACGGTTGGAGCCCCCGAGGGCCCATGACCCTCTAGCTGATGTCAGCAATGACCTGGGTCACAGTGGCCGGGACTGTGAGCACGGGGAAGTGGCCGCGCCGGCCCCGACTACATGCCTCAGCTTGCCTCTGCTGACGGACTGTGCCCAGCCCAGCAGGCCCCATGGTGGCTCATCACGCAGCAAATCCAAGAAGAAGTCCAAGAAGCACAAAGACAAGGAGAGAGCAGCTGAGGATAGACACCGGGCCCGGTTGCCAGACCACATGCCCAGCCCCCTAGGAGCCCCACCAGATGCCCCGGGTATGTACCAGGAGGCAGGCCTGGGGTGGGGGACTCTGTAGGAGGACAGTTCCAGGAGCCCGAGCTCCAGCCTACCCCCACCATTACCCAGAGAGGGACTCTACCACCGCAAGAGCCCCATAGTGGCATGCCCTGCACATTCAGCTTCTTCGTGCCCTGTGTTTGGTTGGTTGTTTTTTAGGAATTTATTTATTTATCTGAAAAAAAAAAGTGAGTGAGAAAGAGAGCATGAGCGGGGTTGGGGTCGGTTAGAGAAGCAGACTCCCCGCTGAACAGGGAGCCCAATGTGGAGCTTGACCCCAGGACCCCGACAGCATGACCTGAGCCGAAGACAGACACTTAACCAACTGAGCCACCCAGGCGCCCCTGTGCCCAGTGGTTTTTTTTTTGTTTTTTAAGATTTTTTGTTTATTCACTAAAGAGAGAGGCAGAGAGAGCCCAAGCAGGAGGAGAGGCAGAGAGAGGGGAAGAAGCAGATACCCCGTGATCTGCAAAATTGGAGATCATGACCTGAGCTAAAGGCAGATGCTTAACCATCTGAGCCACCCGGGCGCCCCTGCACCCTGTGTTCTTATACAAGGTTGTCTGTGAAGGTCCCAGCGGTCTCAGTCCTGCTGTGTGTCAGGCCAGTGCTGGTAGCACAGAGCCTCTGACCTGGGGCCCGTGGGAGGGGACAGTCCACCCAGAGAGGAACTAGTTCCAGGCTCAGCTCTGGCTCCCAGACTCCCAGGCTCCCAGACACTGAAAGTGAGCAGGGTGGGGCTGGGGTTCAAGGAAGGCAGTGGGGTGCAGGGCCTGGCTGGAGAGGGGCAGTACCTGGACTGCCACAGGCCTCATGTAGCCTGCTGACTGGTGAACATTCAGCACGTGGAGACTGGGTTTGGGAAGCTGTCCATAGAACAGCAGGCAGTAGGAGTCAGAAGGAGGTCACAGAGTGGGAAGTCGAGAGATTTGGGATCGCAGCAGCAGGATGAGAGGGGTGTGGGGCCAGCTGGGGCTGTGTGCTGAGCCAGAGAACCTTTGTGGGGCCAGAGACACTGTGGAGGTGTATGGACAGGCCAGACTTGGGGTGGGAGTAGGGATCTTCACCCTCAGAACCTGGGCTACCTTGAGTTCGTAGCTCAGGGCTCCCGAGCAGAACACCCCATGTTGCTGTTAACCTAATGGGCTTGGCATGGCCAGAGAGCTGCGCCTGCAGACACTCCCGGCTGTGAAACTTGCTGCTGCTTTCAGATCAATTCCACCCCCCTCCTCAAGGATCCACCCGGGAGGCATTCCTGGGGCAAGAGCAGAGCTGCTTTCTCCTGAAGGCTTTTTAATGAGTAGTTCACCGGCTCTCCAGAAAGGCCTTTGCCAGCCCCTCCCTCTGGCTGGAGGGCGGGTGTTGGCAGCCGCGGGGTGGGGAGGCAAGGCCTGGCTCCCCTGAGGTGGTCGGGTCTGGAGAGACAAACCCTGAGCAGGCCCAGCCAGGCAGCACGTCCTGTGCTAAATGGTGAAAGCAAAGCCCCGTGTTCCCCCAGCAGGGCCTGGGGAGGGAGGAGGACATGTGGCGCTCAGCCAGCTTCAGATCCTGTCCAGGGCACATGGGCCTGGGCAGCTTGTCCCCAGGTTAAGGTGGGAAAGTGAGATTTGGAATCAGGCACACCAGGGAGTAGGGGGCCCAAGGAAGGGACAAGGTACTAAAAGCAATGCTTTGTCCATCTGAATCTCTGTCTCCCAGGCGCCTCAAATGTAACAGGAATGGCCGAGCACAGAGGCCTACCGCCCTGTTCCCGGATGCCTTCTGGGACAGTGTGCTCTGCTGGTGGGCGCAGCCACCCACGCTGGAACCACCCACCTCCCTTTAACAATGTTCTTTATGCAACATGGTTCTTTGTGCACCATGCCCCTCCCTCAGATGTTCTGGAGAAGGTTCCAGGGCAGCACGTGAGGAAGTCTCCTTGCATTTGTGTCTCATGTGGGAGGGACAGCTTCGGTTGAACCCACTCCTCAGTGGGGCACCGTCCGGGCCCCATGCCACGCTCACCTCTGCCCTAGGCAGACGCAGCAGCCCGCACCTGTCCGGCGGATGGCTCTCCTTAGCCACCCCTGTGCAGATGCCAACCTGGACCTGTAGCCCCAGCTTGTGTCCCTCAGGGCTACCTGTCCCCCTGTGCTACTGGTCGAGCTGGGTCCTCTGTCCATTCTCGTGCCTGCTCCCCGCTCTTGCTCAATCCGTGGCCCCCTCCTGCTGCCTCCGTGTGCCTTCCTGGGCAGGCTGGTGTGCTGGGTGGGGAGCCTTCTCCCAGTGGGACCCAGCCCCGGGGAGGCACAGGAGAAGCTGGTAGAAGGGGCAGGAGGCAGCTGCAGGGAGGGTTCCCTTTAGGCCCCAGCCCTGCCGTGGGAACCAGCTCAGCGGGTTTGGTGGGGGCTGAGCCCTGAGGTTTGCCTCAGGCCAGAGCTCAAAGGTGTCTTAAGTGCCAGGAGAATATGACCCTGAATCTTGGTTTCTCCGTTTGTTCTCTCACCTGGTAAAGATTTCAGAAGGGCTAAATGAGGCTGTGTTGACTGGGCTCACAAATGGCAGAACACTCTGGAAGGCATAACTCACAAAGCATGTGTGGCAGAAGTAGGGCCTAAGCTCTCACGTGTGTGTTCATTGGGCTACAGCCCCGAGAGGTGGGAAACATGCGCTCCCTCCATTAGTGGGAGTCGCGGGGCACAGGGATTCCCGGGGGGTCCACTGTCCTCTCTAGGGACACATGCTGTGTACTGACGACATGTGCCACAGTGACAGAATCTCTTTTACGCTGGGAAGAAAGGCCATTGGAAGGAAATTCCTGGGAAGGAGGCTACATTGTAGTTCTGGTCAGCTGTGCCCCCAAGCGGCGTGAACAGCCCCATGTCCTGCAGTCCCACCTCATGGGTGGCCTGGGGTGCAGGCCGGAGCCGGGGCTCTCCCATGCAGCCCTCTGTCTCTCCCACCAGGCCAGAGGTGGGCAGGTGGGTTGCTTATCTCCAGAGTAATGGCCTTTTCCATGCAGTTTGCAGAGACAGCGGGGCTGCCGGCTAGCTCAGGCTCTGGCCCTGCAATGAACTTGGACTTGCTTGCCGTTCCTTGCTGAAAACCTGCACATGGCACGTCATGCTCTCTGTACATCCCGCGACTGGTTGGGGGACACACGCTATGCTTGGCTGTGGTGCTGCTGGGTCCCGTGAGGCGCCCTAGGTGGCCCCTGACCGGCCCTCTCCCTGCCTCTGCCCATCCGACTCCCCTTCTGCTGCCCCTCCGTGTCCTTCAGACAACAGACCTTTTGATCTTTCTTTGTAGGTTTGAACGGGACCTGCAGCAGCTCAAGTGTCCCCACATCGACCTCAGAGACGCCCGACTACTTGCTGTGAGCACTTCCCTCGCTGGCCTAGCGCCCTCTCCCCACCCTGCCCTCTGCCCTGCACTGCAGCTGGGCCTCTGGAGGACTTCCCCGGGGGTGGGGGTCTTCCTGGGCCACACAGCCTGTTCCAGGCCCAGGCTCCTCCTGGAGCCGGGACGTTGGCGCCCGGTGGGGCCACAGCCGTGCAGCCAGGGGCACTCCAGCCTCTCCCCCGCAGCCCCCTGAGCCCCGCTGGCCCCTCTTCTCCATCTCCTCAGAAAATACGCTACCATTTCCTCCTCGGAGCAGCGCCAGAGCTACAAGAACGACTTCAATGCGGAATACAGCGAGTACCGCGACCTGCACGCACGCATCGAGCAGATCACGAGGCGCTTCACGCAGCTGGACGCCCAGCTCCGGCAGCTGTCCCAGGGCTCTGAGGAGTATGAGGTAGCGCCCCACCCACGGCCCCCTGCCCTCCCCCCGGTTCCCTGCTCCCCACCCCTGGTGGGGCGTGCTAGTCCTTGCGCTCTGCACCCCGCCTGGGTAGGGCGGCAGGTTTCTCGTGGGTGTAGCCAAAGCCAGGACTTCCAACCCCACCCGTGGCCCCAGAGCCTGGCCACTACCTCTCCCAGGTGAGGAGGGCCGCCACACTCAGCCCGTGTTTCTCCCTGTTGCAGCCTGGTAGGTGGCTGTCCCTAGCTGCTGGTGTGCTTGGTCTGTCCCCCAGGGCTCTGCCATGGGAGTCCACGGGCTCTGGGGCCCGGCTCCACTTCCTGTGCAGTGGAGACCGGCTCCATAGGCAGGAGATGGCCCCCAACAAGACAAGGAGTCTTGTTCAGAGCCCCTGAAACAGCCAGGACCTGTAGGGTTGGGTCCTCTGGCAGCTCACAGCCCATCTGTGCTGTCAGAGCCACAGGGCTGGGGCTGGAGAGTCTCTGTGGCTCCTCCCCCTCTGCTCAAGCTGATCCATGTTGGGAGCTCCCTGCTGAGAGGAGTGGTGGGGGGGGCAGCGCCGTTGGTCACCAGCCTCCCCTCATGCCACCTTTCAGAGTTAGTCTGATTAATTGGGGTGTTGGGGTCATGGGGACCTCTTTGGTTTCCAGAGGAAACAGCTCATAGTTGGAGGAGTGATGAGGGTTCTGAGGGTCTGGGACAGAGGAGTCCTGGGGTCTTGCTCTTCTCCCTCCTGTAGCCCCCACATGGATGTTCCTCAGTATCCCCCTGTACCCCCAGGTGGTGGTGGGGCTCTGCTCTTGGCCTTGAACAGTAGGCAGGCCAGCTGGGTGTGAGGGAAGGAGGCCTCCCAGCCTGCTCTTAGCCTCCTCCCTCCCACTGCGTAGGCCATTGTGTTTGTCCCTAAGGCTGGGCCCCTGCCCCTCACTCCCCTGGCCCGTCATCCTCCCCCACCTCTTGCCCTGCTCATCCTCCCCTCCCACCCCACCCCCTTCCAGCCCTAGCCTGGCTCTCTTTACTTTGTCAGCTTCTCTCAGGCCACGATGAGCCTACTGTCTCAAGGCTGATGGTGACTCTTCAGGTCACAGGTTATCAGACAAGAGGGGATCGATGGCTCAGTAGGGGCCTCCTGCAGGCGAGAGCATTGTTCCCTTTCTCTTTTGTTTCTCCTCCAGACTACTCGGGGCCAGATTTTGCAGGAATATCGAAAAATCAAAAAGGTAAGTTTCCACCCCTTGTGGGGGGTGGGGTGGGGTCAGATGAAGCTGGCTCAAGGTGAGCCACACTAGGGAAGGGCCTTGGGTAGGCCCGGTTCTCCAGTCCTCAGAGCAGCTCCTGCCTCCCCCTCCCCCACCATTTACTGCTGAGAAGCTCAGTGCATCCCTTCCCTGGCAGCAAAATACCCTCCCTCCCGCACCCCCACCCCTCCGTGGGTGCAGCCCCCAGGCTCTTTCCAGCTCCCCGCAAGGACACCGGAGGAGCCGAAGCTCCCCGCCCCCCCTGCAGCAGGAATGCGCCCGCAGGGCTCTCTCAATTCTTGCTCTGAAGGCCGCTAGCCATGTGTGTGCCCCTGTGCGCCAGGCCCCCAGTCCAGGAAGGAGGCTTCCTGACAGTCTCGCCTCTGGCCGCCCTCATCCTGGCAGTGACCCTGTTTCCCAGGATGGGGCTTGGGGAGAGGCACCAGCCCAGGGCTCTGGCCTGAGGTAGAGCAAGGGTCCTCGTCCTTGCGTGGTGGGCGCTGGCCTGCAGGCAGGGGATGCGAGCCCAGAGCTGCCCGTAGGCTGGCACACGAGGCAGCCCTTGGCCCCGCTGAGCTCTTGGACTCGGGCTGGTGGGGGATGTGGCTCAGGCCCACCTCTCTCTTGCAGACCAACACCAACTACAGCCAGGAAAAGCACCGCTGCGAGTACCTGCACAGCAAGCTGGCCCACATCAAGAGGCTCATTGCCGAGTACGACCAGCGGCAGCTGCAGGCCTGGCCCTAGCCTGACGTCAGGGCGCCGGAGATTCTGCGCGGCCTGCTGGGCCAGCTCCCCTTGCTGGGCTGACCCTTCTGGACGGCGGGGGAGTGGGGGGGCTGGGCGGGGGGGGGGGGAAGCTACAGAGCGGAAAAAGAGATTTATTTAAAAAAATAAACACAAGGAAGACGTGTTCATCTGAGCCAGCAACGCCGGCTTTCAGGGGAGCCCCCGCAGACTGCTGCCCTCAGCTCCGTGAGGAAGGTGTGGTGGCCAGTGTCTCATCCCACGCCCCCAGCCCCCCACATCTCCTGGGGAGCCCTCACCCGGGATGGGCTCTTCAGGAGGCCCACCTCCTCTCCAGCCTGCAGCCCAAGGGGCTTCAGTGTCCCCTCCTGGAAAGACTCCAAGGCCAGCCTGTCTGCCTTTTCTAGTTTTATACAAAGACAGCCACTTTTAGCTACTACTTAGGAGACTCCTATTTTTGTATGAGAGAGAAAGCATCTTTTCTAAACCTGTGCCTCCCCTCCTTGGATACCAGGGTCCAGATGCCGCCCTGTGTCCTGCCTGCAGTATTACAGATGCCATCGGAAAGTTCAGAGCTGTTCCTGAGGGCTGGGGGCCGGGGAGGGTGGGGCGCAGGGGTTGCTGCCGGCTAGGCTGGCCTCCTGGGCTGTCCTCCTGGCCTGGTGTCTGGCTGTGCTCCTGCTCTGGGCCCTCCTTCCTGCCCTGGCCTCCCCAGCCCTCACGGCACCCCCAGGCGAGGACAGGGTCTCTGCTGTACCGGGGTGGAGGCCCGCCCAGGGCTATTTCGAGAACTCCAGCTGGCCCGGAGCAGCTGCAGGAGCTGCGGGAGCAGAGCCGCTCTTGGCCCACCGGGCCTGCCCTGCTATTTCAGGCTCTCAGCTGTAGGGGGTCACTGGGGCTTTTCTGGGCTACGAGCTCACACTGCAAGAGCAGTGTCAGATTTTATTATGTTCTCAATTTCCCCCTTTGCTGCTGCTTTTCTTTTCGCGCTGAGACTGTGTGGTCTCCATGCTGTTGACCTCGCTCTGTCCCTCAGTCCGCTTGTGGGTCTTGGGGTCATCTTAGCAGAGCCACCGCAGGCTTTGCACTCAGGGAGGAGCTGGGGGTCAGGGGGGTCGGGGGACCCCCCCGCCCGAGAGCGAGCTCAGAAAATGTGCCCTGTCCGCCCACTCTGGGGGCATGGGCTCTATGGACACCATAATTGCTGCTTAGTAGCTGTGCCTAGTCCAGTGTCCCCCAGAGTGTCGGGGGACCAGGCGCACGCATGCGCCTGTGTGTGCGCGCGTGTGCACGTGTGTGTGTGTATGTGTGTGCGGGGGGGGACCCTGCCGGGTTGCAGTGGGGCCTAAGGCATGTGTTCACATTCAGGGCCACAGTCCACGGAGCCACCAGGACTGGGGAAGGCAGAGGCAGTGGCTGCAACCTGGAGCCTGGGGCTGACAAGCTGGGGCGGGGCTGGGGATGCTGCCGCCCACGGGAGTGAGGCAGGGAGAGCATGAGCGATCGGCAGGCAGGTCTGTTCTTCTAAGCCACGGGGAGGTCTCCTGCTGGCTTCCCAAAGAGCGGCTCAGCGTGGAGGCTCCCCCGCAGCATGACTGGCCCACTGGTGCCTTTTTGGGGACCCTAGGATGTCCAGAGCACCAAGGCAACTGATCCTTCATGTTTCAATGAGTGTTTTGTTTTTCATTTGGGATGGAGTGGGAGGGCTGAGTGGACCCCAGGGACCCCCGAGCTCCACAGATGGCCGTGTCGCGTGCGCAGACTGTACCCAGCCAGATAGGCAGACTCGGGTGAAGGATTATTTAAGGAGGCTGCAGCCGGAGGGCTAACCCAGCCCTCTGCCCTGGGAACCAGTTCAAGGGACTCTAAGTTGAATTTCCTTTTTGTTGTTGGCTTTTTGTTGTTTTTTGTTGTTGTTGTTTTTCTCCTTTTAAGGAATTATGAAGCTAAGAAAAGTATTGTGCTTTGGGGGATGATGGACAAAAGTTCTAGCTGATTAAATATGGTCTAACTTATTGATACTGTGTCCCCCCCCCCCCTTTTAATATTGTACTGTGGAGAAAAACTGTTTTGAGCCATGGAGTTGGTGTTTACAAGAACTTTTCACTTTTGCCAAAATGTTACGATTGAAAGGCATCTGCGTCTTCAGTTTCCTAATATTTTCTTAAAAGATCTAGTGTCCTTTTTGTACACTAAGCAGGTGAATGCTGATTTTTTCAACCTACAATAAATTTCACTGAACCGAACCCCGCAGCCCCAGGTGCCTGGGTGCATTTGTGTCTGTCCTAACCGGGGCCTCCTGGCCCCCTGTGGGGGTGGGCTGGGGTTGGAAGGAGACAGGGCGCTGGAGCAGCCATGGTGTTGAGCAGGTATGAGGTGGGGGGTAGGGTGGGAGGCAGGGAGGCGGGCAGTTGGAGACTCGCAGAGACGGATGGGCCCTGCTAGTGCGAGGCATGAGGTCAAACTGCCTGGTCATAGGTAGGAAAAGATGAAGACAAGCCATGGGGATAGTGGGGAGCCACGGTAGGTATAGGAGTAGGGCTGTGTCCTCAGGTGTGTACAGGGTAGACCAGGTCTAGCAGGGGCCTTCCAAAGTGCCATAGCCCCCAGGAGTAGTAGGGACACATGGGGCCAGGGGAGTGCCCTTCCTTGGGGGGAAATGACCTGTGGATGGGGAAAAGGGCAGTGATGGCGCTGTTTTATTGTTTCTTCCCACCAGGCTGGCTCGCAGGGGCTGCCCCTGTGCCCATGATGGGGATGGGGATGCCAAGGCCCAGTGGGATCCCCCAGGCCCAGAATGCCAGCAGGGATGGCTGTCCTTGTCCCATGCTCCAGGTGAGGAGATGAAGGCAGGGGTCAGGGTCCTGCTTTTGAAGGACAGGGTGGGGGTGGGTGTTTATTTTAGAAAGGAAAAACAGACAAAGAATAATAAGCCTGGGATGAAAGGGGTCCAGGGGTCAGGGGCTCTGGGCCTTAGGCTTTTGGACAGCCCCGCTGGCTCCAGCCTTGGCCCGAGTTCTAAGGTGGCCTGGGAATCCAAGGGGCGCAGGAGACAAGGTCAGGCGGGCCCATGGGGCAGAGTGTACCCTGCTCCCTGGGCAGCCTGGCCATCCCGTCCTTTCAGGGGATAACATCTCTATCCGCACAGTCCAGGGTCCAGGGCCATTGTCTGCTTCTTTGTACCCTGTCATGCCTTAGCTTTGCTGTGGCCACATGCTCCCCAAGTCCTTCACCGGACTCCCCTGCAGCCCCTCACGCTGCCCAGAGGCACCATGGCCATCACGCCCTGAGTGCGCCTCAGCCGCAGGAGGTGCCCCCAGCACTCTGATCCCATGGCCCCTTCTATGTGCTAGGCTCTGCATGGGCACTGGTACTTGGTGGAGATAGCCCTGCCCCTGCCCTCAGTAGCCTGTGTTATGGTGGGGGCTGGGATTCCCCAGTCCCTCCTGGGGAGCACAGTACCCCCGTGTCACACACGCAGGCAGTCCCTGCAATCGCTGTCCGGTGCCCAACTGACTGTTCTGTCCTCGCCCTCCTCCTGGCACCTCCCAGCGGCTGCCCAGTGAGTGCTGGGGCTCCCCAGGCCTGGGTCTTGGGGCCTTTCCAGTCTCTGCACATTCCCAGGTCACCTGGCACTTGGAGGCACAAGCGCCTTCCAGACCGCTGGCACCAACTGGATTTCAGTTCTTGGAGCTGGTAGCAGAGCCTGCAGGTTAAGGGCTCAGTCCCATGAGACCGCCCCCAACTCCAGGCACCTGCCACAAGTCTCTGGCCACTGGCTATGAATCAGGTGTTCCCACGGCTCCTTCCTAGGTTTGCTCGAATGGCTCACAGCACTCAGGAGAACACTTCAGGCGCCAAACAGGAGGTAGATGCTGAAGGCAGGGTGTGGGGAATGGCACTGGGCGCCCATGCCCTTCTCCAGGTGTGCCCCCCTCCCACATGTATGATGAAATCACCAGCCTTTGGCTGTTGCCCTCCATCTCCAGCCAGAAACCAGGGACAAGACCCAAATACTTACTACGCAGTATTCCCTGTCCCCAGCCTTGAGGGTCGGCCCTGGTCCCCAGACTGCTGCTCTCCCCATCCCACCTGGCCACCTTCTCACCTGCCCCTGAACCCACTCCCCCCAGGCTTTTGCATGGGCAGTTCCTCATGTGTCTTGATAAAAGATGTGTCTCAAGACCCCTTCCAGCAACCACCTCTCCCAGGCAGCCTGCCCTGCCAGACCCAGCTTCCAAGTTGCCTCTGGCTTGGGGTGCCCCAGTCTACTTCCGGCTCCCCCACACTGGAGTCCCTTGAGGTTGAAGCTTGGAGCCCCCAACCCCCAAGGCCAGGCCCTGACCATGTTTCCTGCGAGTGTTCCCAACTATCCACCTTTTGGGTCCGCTCCAGTGGTGGAAACTTTCCAGCCAGAGGAGGCCGCTTGTTTTGGAAAGTTCCTGGGGGAGCCGCCCCCGCCCGCCCTCCGGGTTCCCACGCTCCCTTATCACTGGGTGCTACGGGGGCGCAGTGCTGTGCGAGCCTTGCTCCTCCCCAGCTGACCTCCTTGGTCCTGCCCCCCTCCCCCCTTCCCCTCCTCTCCTCACCGAACACTAGCCCCTCCAGCCTGGCTCCGCCAAGCCCTCCTGCTACAGGTAGGGAAACTGAGGCCTCGCAGCGCCCCTTCCAACACACCGTGTGAGCCAGGTCGGGAGTGCCTGGTGGGTAGTACGGCTCAGGAAAGGGGAGGTGGAGGCGCCCCGGGCTGGAGGACTGCCTGGCTGTGGGCTCTAAAGCCCTGGCTCAGCCTTTGGCCCTAGCTTCCACAGCAGCATCTCGGACCCAGGTGCCCAGGCCCACCTCCTGCCTAGTGGCTGGGCCTGGCGCTCTCTCGCAGCCCTAATGTTCTCTTTTGTAAAATGAGGAAAAGTGGCCGCGCGCCCTAACTGGCTGTGATGCGAAGCGAGTCCACGCGCCCGGTGCGGATGGCCGGGGTCTGTAGCCCATGTGGATGTCCCGCCGCACCCGGTGGGGCGGGAACCCAAGGGCAGGGATGGATCGGGCCTGCCGGGCCTTGAACCCGAGACCTCCGAGTGCTAGGCGGGCGCGCCCCTCCTCCCCGCGCGCCCCTCCTCCTTGGCGCGGGTGGGGTGAGGGGCGGGGCGTGGGCGGGGCCGCGGCTCTTTTCTCTGGAGTTCGCGCGCCCCGAGCCCTCGCCGACCGCCACTGTCCGAGTTGACTCCGCACCGGTGAGTGCTGCTCCGGGGCGTGGTGCGGGCTCTCTGGGGACCGCGGTCGGCTCGGTCCGCCGGCTCTTGTGTCCTCGCTGACCTTCTGCCCACCCTGCGCCCCTAGCTCTCCGCGATGGAGGCCACAGCCGATTTCGTGGTCGAGAGCCCCGACGTGGTCTACGGCCCCGATACCATCGAGGCTCAGTACGAGTACCGGACAGCGTGCGTCAGCCGCGAGGGCAACGTCCTCAAGGTAGGCAAGGGACCCGGGCTGGAGGGTGGGAGCTGGGGGAACCTGGGAGCCGGGAGGGGACAGGAATTACCCAACGTCGAAGACTCTGCTCCGATAGTGAGGGAGGAAGGGCCTGTGACCGCAGACTCACTGCGCTGCCTGCCCCTAGGTATACCCCACGTCCACGCGCTTCACCTTTCGGACCGCCCGGCAGGTCCCCCGGCTTGGGGTCATGCTCGTCGGCTGGGGCGGGAACAACGGCTCCACGCTCACCGCCGCGGTGCTGGCCAACCGACTGCGCCTCTCCTGGCCCACGCGCACTGGCCGCAAGGTGGAGGGTCGGGTGGGGCTCGGCTAGAGTTCTTGCAGGACGGGGAAGGGCCTTTAGGGGGCGGAGCTCTACGAAGGAGGCAACCCTCCCGGGACAGAGCCTAAAGTGCCCGCGTGCTGTCCTGGGTGTGTGTATGTGGTGGTGGTGGGGGGGTCTCCAAAGGGGGAACGGCTTCTGCCTTGACTCGGAGCACAGAGCTGAGGCGCCCAGAAGAAAGGCGGAGCTTGAGGGTGCTGGGTGGGGCCGTGAGGGCTGGTGGTTCACGCCACGCCCCACCTCACCCCGCCCTGCCTGCCGCCCCCCAGGAGGCCAACTACTACGGCTCGCTGACGCAGGCGGGCACCGTTAGCCTGGGTTTGGACGCCGAGGGCCAGGAGGTGTTCGTGCCCTTCAGCTCACTGCTGCCCATGGTGGCACCCGACGACCTCGTGTTCGACGGTGGGCGGGGCCCTAGGCAGGGGGCTGGGGTGGGAGGCGGGGCCTGGAGGGGTCCATGTTCTGAGTTGGGCTGAGCTTGGGGGTGTGTCGTCCCCTGCCCCAGGCTGGGACATATCGTCGCTGAACTTGGCTGAAGCAATGCGGCGCGCACAGGTACTGGATTGGGGGCTGCAGGAGCAACTGTGGCCGCACTTGGAGGCCCTGCGCCCGCGGCCCTCTGTCTACATCCCTGAGTTCATCGCAGCTAACCAGAGTGTGCGTGCTGACAACCTCATACTGGGCACGCGCGCACAGCAGGTGCGGCCCCGCCCCAAGCCCTGTATCCCTTGCCACTTGTTGCTCTTACCTTTCTCGAGCCTGAGTTACCACCCACCACTCCCATTCCATGCCCCTCACCCCTTATTGGCCTTTTGTCTCCTCGTTCCCATTCTGAGGTTCCAGACCTCACTTTGTACTTGGGGAACTGAGTAGCCCAGACCTCCCCAGGTCGAGGAGCCTGTACAATCCCTTTCCCTCCCCACCCAGCTGGAGCAGATCCGTAGGGACATCCGTGACTTCCGGTCCAGCGCTGGGCTAGACAAGGTCATCGTGCTGTGGACAGCGAACACTGAGCGCTTCTGCGAAGTGGTCCCAGGCCTCAATGACACCGCTGAGAACCTGCTGCGGACCATCCAGGTGGGTGCACCCAGGGTTGGAGAGAGGGGTCAGGACCCGTCCCAAAGGATCCCTCCCTGCTGATCCCCCGCCTGTGTCCACAGCTGGGCCTGGAGGTGTCGCCCTCCACTCTCTTCGCTGTGGCCAGCATCTTGGAGGGCTGCGCCTTCCTCAATGGGTCCCCACAGAACACACTGGTGCCCGGGGCGCTTGAGCTCGCCCGGCAACGACGTGTCTTCGTGGGTGGTGACGACTTCAAGTCAGGCCAGACCAAGGTCAAGTCCGTGCTTGTGGACTTCCTTATCGGCTCTGGCCTCAAGGTGCGTGGGCTTGGGGGGTGCACAGCTCAGGAGTGGGGAGGGGGTGGGCTGGACCCCAAGCACCAGGCTTGTGGCCGCGGGGCTTGTGTGCCCTGGGGCCTGCAGCTGCCGCGGGGCCCCTTGTTCCCACAGACCATGTCCATCGTGAGCTACAACCACCTGGGCAACAATGACGGGCAGAACCTGTCGGCGCCGCCACAGTTCCGCTCCAAGGAGGTGTCCAAGAGCAGCGTGGTGGACGACATGGTGCAGAGCAACCCGGTGCTCTACAGGCCCGGCGAGGAGCCTGACCACTGCGTGCGTGGGCCATAGGCCGCTGGGGGGCCGGGGGCAGGGGGGAGCCCCTGGCGGAGCAGGGCGGGGCCCCCTGTGACCTCGTGCTGCTCCCCAGGTGGTCATCAAGTATGTGCCGTACGTGGGCGACAGCAAGCGCGCGCTAGACGAGTACACCTCGGAGCTGATGCTGGGTGGCACCAACACGCTGGTGCTGCACAACACGTGCGAGGTGCGGGGCCTGCCGGGGCGGGAGTGGGGCTGCCTGTCGGCCCCACCTGCCTCCTGACCCGCCGGCCCCGCAGGACTCCCTCCTGGCTGCGCCCATCATGCTCGACCTGGTGCTGCTGACCGAGCTGTGCCAGCGTGTGAGCTTCTGCACGGACACCGACCCGGAGCCGCAGGGTTTCCACTCGGTGTTGTCGCTGCTCAGCTTCCTGTTCAAGGCGCCGCTGGTGCCCCCCGGCAGCCCGGTGGTGAATGCGCTCTTCCGCCAGCGCAGCTGCATCGAGAATATCCTCAGGTGGGCCCCGGCTTTGGGGTCCCCATCGGAGGCCCGCACATCTGCTGGCCGCCTCCGCACGGGGACTGGAGGGCCTGGAGGCTGTGGGGTCCCCGGCCTCGGAGTCCGGCTCCACTCAGTCCTGACCTTTCCCCCAGGGCCTGTGTGGGGCTCCCGCCGCAGAACCACATGCTTCTGGAGCACAAGATGGAGCGCCCTGGGCTCAAGCGAGTGGGGCCTGTGGTAGCCACCTGCCCTGTGCCTTGCAAGAGAGGAGCGGCGCCCACTGCCCCCAATGGCTGTACGGGTGATGCCAATGGGCTCTCGCAGGCTGACACACCCCAGATGCCCACCACTTAAGGCCATGGCCATCCTCCCCTAAAATTCTTGCCCCACTGCACCTTCAGGACCCAACCCTTCCAAGATCCCTGAAGACAATAAAGCCATTTGCCACTCTCAGCCACAGCATCATCTGTGGGTTCTTGGCGCCTGCGACCTAACCCTAGCCACCCCCCAACTCCAGCCCCATCTCCCATCTTTCTCATGGTAGACTCCTAGCTACCCTTCCCAAAGCGATGCCCCAGCTCTTGAAACTTACAGAACCCGGAGGCCTCTGCCCAACCCCTGATGGGAGGATGTGGCCACAAGCCACAGCGAAGAAATCTGGAGACCAGATACCAAAAACCAAAACCAAGTTACATTTATTGATGGGGCCCACCCCTGCTGTGCAGGGGAAAGGAGGTCCCCAAGAATCCCCCGGGGACAAAATAGAAATAGCGGGAAGGGCCTATACAGGAAAGAACGTCTCTGAGGTCCTTGTGTTTGCTTTTTTTTTTTTTTTTTTTGGTTTTTTGTTTTTGTTTTTTTATAAAATGAGAGTCCTTCGTGTGGGGCCTCCCAGCTGTCCAATCCTTGAACTGGATGGAGTACAGTCGCCCGAGGTGTGACCTCAGACCCTCACCCAGCAGACTGCCCCAGGCCCTGGACCTTGGTCCCAGGCAGGGGCACTGGGCAGAAGCCGAGGCCGGCAGTGGGCAAGGGGCTGCTGCCCCATCACACGCTCATGGTCATCCCGGGCGAGTACTGCGGAGAGACGAGGGGGTGGCGCGCGGAGGCGGGCTCAGCTCTGGCCTATGCTGGGACCCGCCCCCCGGGGAGAATGGGGGACGGGGCAGGGCGGAGGGAGGGGAGGAGAGAAGTGGCGATGCGTGGGGAGACTGCCCTGGGGTGCGGGTCCCAGGATGGGGTGGGGACAGGGAGGGGGACCGGTGAGATTAGGGCGGGAGTGGGGGAGGGAAAGAAAGGGGAGGGGAAGGATGCCGCGGCCGCCCCCCCACCTGGCCCGCCGCGGTCACGGTCTTGCTCTTGCCCCCCGGCCGCCCCGCCGGGGCCTGCCCGCCAGGCCCCTCCGGCCCGACGCCGCCGCGGGGGGGGGAGTCGACGCAGTCGCTTACGCTTTCGCTCGGGAACGGGTGCAGGAAGGTCCCGGCGGCCGCCATCTCGCCGTCGTCCCGCGGGGTGCCCGGGGCGTTGCTCAGGCCGGCCACGGCGCCGGGGGAGCTCTGGGGGCGGCCGCGGTCAGCGCAGGGCTCCCCGCCCCGCGGGCCGGGCCCTGCCCACTGCTCGGCCCAACCCCGACTAGGCTTCCCAGCTCTGACCCAACCCACATCCCCGCACCCAGGGAGTCCCAGGTTCCGTCCCCACGCAGGACCGCGGCCCTCACCTTCGGCAACCCGTCCATATCGCCCGAGCCTGTGGACCGACAGACCGCGGACCGTGGCTCAGATGTGCCTGGGACAGGCCAGCACCAATCCCCGGCTTCCCCCAGCCTAGGATCAACTAACCCCTTCCTGAACTTGCTGCGTGGCCCTACCTCCGTCCCTGGGCCCAGCCCGCTGGGACCCCGCTGGGGGTCCCGGATAGAGGGTCAGGACGGGGGGTCAGTGATGGCACTCTTGGTTTAGTTGCTGGAACTCCCCCCTGCCCCCCCCGCACACCTTCCGCCACTTCCCCCCTCGCAGCCCCTGCCAGTGGACTTGGGGTGCAACCGCCAGGGGGCGCAGGCGGCTTGCGAAGTAGCGGGGGTGGGGAGTGAGGTGTGTGTCTCTACTCAAAGCCCACTCACCCAGGGATCCGTTCACGTGGTGAGGCTCCATCGCACTCATGGCCGCCATGGGGCCCTCGGGACCAGGGCCGAGCGGGAACTGCGGGCAGGGGGCAGCGTGGGACTAGGGCCATCAAATCCCCAGCGGGGGCACCGCCTGCCACAACACCCACCCTGGAACCCCCGCAACTCACATTAGCCCTGCTGGCGCCCGGCCCAGTGGGGTTCATGATGGTGTACATGTTCTCGCTGGAGTTGGTGGAGTCTGGGGGAGATACCGGGACGTAAGGGGAAGGGCTGCGAGGACTTCTCCGGGAGCGCACACCCCTCCCTGTACCCCGCCCAGGCTGCAGCACCTCCAGGGCTGGGCATGATAGGTGTTCCAGGGGGCCCACCTCCTCCTGGGGGTCCCTGCGCAAGGAAGGAGACAGAAGGTGAGAAAGAGCCCCCCATCTGCCAACCACCGCCCCTGCCCCCTGGCTCGAATGGAGCAGCCACTGCGTCACTCAGTCACTCACCGTGTAGCTGCCGGGGGAGGAGGAGGAATAGGGAATCTGGGGAGAGGGGCAGCCATGAGAAGTTGCCCTGCTGTACCCCCACACCGCTCATCTGCTCATCCACCCACCACCCTCCCGGGGCCGCCAGCCCGCCTCTCACCGAGTTTCCACTGGGGCTGGCCCAGGGGCCTCGCACTCCAGGGCCCCTAGAAGACACAGTGGGTGGACCCCAGGGTGAGGCCAGGTGGTACACAGCCCCCCACTATACATTTTGTGACCTCCCCCACTCTGCCCCACGGGCCCCCAAACAGGGCCGCAGAGCAGCCCATGTTGGCTAAGAGTTGGTACCCAGGGATGGATTCCAATCAGCCTCCGAATCCCATCCTATCACTCACTGGCCTTTGGGCCTCAGTTTACCCCCCAATACAGAGTAAACCACCAGAGTGGTTGCGCAGACTGAGTATGCCCCAGCAGAGTCAGCCCATGAAGCTGGGTGGTGGCCTTACATGTTCATGGTGGGCAGGCCCGGGCCGGCGAGGGAGTTGGGTGGGGGCCGCATGCCACCTCCATAGCTCTGGGAAGGCAAAAGCATGGTGAGTGCAGGCCAAGATGTCGGGGAAAGCCCCAGAAGCGTACCCTCTCTCCTGGCCCAGCCCTTACCTGGGGTCCAATGTTGGCCATGCCCCGTGGAGGTGTCACTCTCTGCATCGGGCCCAGGCTAGGATGCCCTGGCGGGGAGGGAGGCAGGAGGAAGGGGGCTCAGGCCAGGAATACTCCCCAGTGTGGACACGCACTGGAGGGGGTGTTTCTGCACCAGCAGGCAGCAGGGACGAGGAACTTGGAGCTGAGGGTGGCAGCAGCGGGAGCTTCCCTACTCACCCTGAGCACGCGGGGAGGGTTCCATGGCGCCAGGGAGGAGGGGCTGGGAGCCGGGGAGCCCCACAGGAGGCTGCAGAGGGGGTGTGGCAGCACTGAGCGTGGGTACCCCCTCGCTGGCCCAACTCCTGCCCCCCCTCCCCTCATCCCTCTCTCACCTGACTCGGCATCCGCAGGGTGGGCCGGGGGCCCCCTGGGAACCGCGGTGACATGAAGGGCTGGAAGAGGTGGGCCGGGGATCAGCACCTCCCACCGCCCGCTCACCCCCCAAAGCTACCCCATTCCTGCAGCTGCCCGGGCCCCCAGCCTGGACAGCCCCCCTCCTCCAGGACCAGCCAGCAAACCACAGCCAGCCAGTGCCCGGTGCGTGAGTGCAGTGGGGCTGGGGACTCCATCTGCTGGGATGTGCGTGTGCAAAGGGGCAGGGCATCACAGGTCCTTACCTGAACATGAGGCCCCATCATGGGGGCGTTGGGATTGTGGGGGGGGTTGCTGGGAGCCAGGGGGGCCCTAGGAGGACAGAACCAGGTGGGTTGGGAGGAGCGAGGTCCACCGAAGCTTCACTGTTATCTGTGGCCCTACTGAGCCTGGCCAGGGAGGGTGAGGGGACGCCATGGAGGTGGGAGGGTGGGCCAGCCCTGTGCTCCCCCGAGGGGAAGACGGGGTTTGGAGTGAGGGGCCCTACAGGAACAGTCACAGGCAAGACCCATGGCTCAGAGAGCCATGCTCTGAGGCCCTTAGCAACCAGGCCCGCACTGGCCAACCTCACAGAGACACCACCCTCTCCTGCTTTGGGGCCCAGCCCAAACGGTCCCACCCCTGCCCTTGCCACCAAAGCCACTACACAAATACCCACCTCCTGGAAAGCCCCCGACCCACCTGCGGCTGGCCCAGGCCTCTCCCTGTAAGATCCACCGCCCCCCACCCTCACGGCCCATGCCTTCACCCTCCAACATATGCCCACTCGAGTTGGAGAACAAGGGGCACCGGCCCTGGCTGTACCTGGAAGAAGCTGGGGGCCATGGGGCCTGCTGCCATCGCATCGTTGGGGGCCATGCTCCCCATCACAGGACTGGGGGCCGCCACAGCACTCTGCAGGGGTGAGGAAGACCAGGAGAACGAGCTCTCGTCACTTCCTGCTGAGTGCCCCTCCTATCTGCAAGCAGCCCACTCTGCAGAACAAGGAGCCTGGGCCGTGGGATCCTCCACCCCGGTGAGGGTGTGAGGACGCCTGGAGCGTTCTCTACATGAAGGAGGAGCCGCTGCCCCTGTCCCCAGCCCAGTGTCAGCTGCCCTGACTCGGGGCTGCTCATTTGTTCTCAAACGTGCCCTGTGGACACAGGCTTTGCCTCTTTGCAGCACCCAAGACACTGGCAGTGGTCGGGGCCCTGCCTGATGCCGCCCACAGCCCAGGGAGGAGGCCAGAGACCTGGGGATCCCGGCTCCTAAGGAGTCAGTCCCAAGCCTGAGGATTCTGGGGGTCTGAAGATGCCAACGACCCAGGACCCCCGTGGGCATGTGCCTCCCGCATCTGGCACGGCTCGCTCTTCCCATCGGAATTTCACCTCAGACTAGTGGGCATGTCGTCCCTGACTCTAGCCCCAGCCCCACACGCCCCAGGTTCTCCTGGCTGGGAAGACGGACGAGCTGGACTCCCAGCTCTGCCCAAGATACCCAAATAAACAGAAATCAACTGGCAGCTTCAAGGTGAACCTCCCTCCCACAGGGCTCCTCCCGGGAGCTGCGGGGGCAGAGCACCCCCGCTTCCAGTCCGGAGGGGGAGGAAGAGCAGGACTAGGGGGCGGGGTGTCCAGGCTCCAGACCTCTCTTCAGTTGGAGGAGGGGAGAAGACCGGGTGCTAGACAGGGGAGTTCCCATGTCAGCCAAGGGTGGAGATGCTGGTGGCAGGCCAGAGCTGGCAGGGGGACAGGCTGACAGGCCACTTCCTCTGGTAGGTTCCAAGTCCCAGGCTTGTCTGCCTTTGGGAACAGAGGAGGGAGGAGGGAAATGGAGGCCTAGTCTACAGGGTAGAGGGAACACATTAAAGGACAAGAAAGGAGCACTCTGCAAGGACTGAGTAAAGACAGTACTTCTGTGGGGGGCCCCTCCACTCTTGCCTGCTGGATCATCTGCACCCACTCCACCCCCAACGGGATCTGAGAGGGAGGGTATGGTCTGCTTGGGGCACAGCTCTTCCTGGGACTGACACAAGCCATCACATGGGGATGCTCAGGAATCTGTAAAACTGCAGCCACTTGGACTCAGAGAAATGAAGCATTTTGCCCACAGTCACACAGCATTTCCTGCTCCAAAGAAGCAGGGAGAGGGTCTCTTGGCTGGGTCAGAGCAGGACCCCTGGAGACATACTCCTCCCCTTGGGTATTGCAAGCTGCCCCCCACCTTCCTGCCCCTTCTCGAAGATCAACCTCCAAAGGTCTCCTACCCAGGTCCCAAGCTGGGGGGGGCGGGGGACACGTCTTCCCCGGCCTATGGTGACTGAAAACAATCCCAGGGCCCATCACCAACCTTTTGAAAGCCAAAGAGATCCTAGGGGGGGGGGGGGGGGGCAAGCTCTCACACCCTCCAAACTGCCATCCCCCCCCACGGACACACACAGCCTGACAGCTGGAGCGCCTACTGTATTCTCGAAGGCGCCTGCCTCAGTGGCTGAAGGAGGCACTTCTGAGCCTTCGGTCTGTCAACTCCCCCCAACCTACCCCACAGAGAGGATGGGAGAGCAGTCCCCCCTTTCAAGCCAAAGCAGGCGCCAAAGCATTTCCTGGTCAGGAGGGAGGAGGGGGGGCAGCCGCTCTCTGGGCTGCCAACGAGGTGTGGGGGCAGGGAGAAGATGGGGCACCCCTCACTCACTGCGGCTCCCCAACTCTAGGCCCAGAAAGGTTAATACAGGGCCCACCCTCACTGGCGGGTGGCCCGAGCTAGACCCCCCCCACGTCAATCATCCACCCGGAGACGCCCTGGCCCATCCCGCGTTGCTATGACGATGGGTTGGGCGCGCTAGCGTTTCCTGGAGACGCCGCAGTCGGCTGCCGGGAGGGGTGAACTGAGCCCCCACTCGGAGGGGGGCCCCGATCGTGCGGGGGAGGCAAGCACAGAGCTCCCCCCACGTTAGAGCAGAGGCCGGGCAGGATGTGCGCCCGCAGCTATAGGGAACCCGTCACCCGGGGCCGGGGCGCTCCCTTCCCCACCACCACGCCTGCGGTGCCCGCACTATCTCCCCCGACGCACTCCGCTGCCATGGTAACCGTCGCGCTCCCAGAAGCGCGCTCCCGCCGAAGTGGAGAACGCTGTGCTCCGCCTTCCTGCCCTCCCCAGAGGGGCCCTGAGAGGCCGCTAGGGGCGGGGGCAGAGGAGAGGCCCGGGTAGGGGTGGGGAGGGAAGGGGGCACCAGCAGGCTGGGAGGGGGCTAGAGCCCGACTGGGAATGAGCGCCCACGCGGAGTCATGCACACACACAGATCCAGACACCCCTGGAGCCCCATTCTGGCAGAGGGGGGCCGGGGGTGGGGGGAGGGGGCGGGCGGGACGCTTAGGGGCAGTGGAACCCAGTGGGGACCCGGGCTCCCATGCACATTGTACAACAGGTGCGGAGCGGCTTCCGGACATGATGGTTACCCCTCGTGGACTGCACCCGGGCTCTAGAAAGGCCGTCACTTGCGGGGTGGGGGGAGGAAGCGCGTTTTGTGGGGAGGCGGTGCACGACCTTGACCAACTGCAGAGCGATTGGTGGGCGGGACGGGCCACGCCCTGGGAGGCCCGAAAGGGCACAGCAGGGCGGACTGCTCAGGCAGTGAAGCCCACAGCTGTAGGTGAGTGGGTGCACAAGGTGGGGGCGCGGGGGGAGAAGGGAGAACTCGCCTAGAGCTGCACCGTCCCTAGACGCCAGCTGAGCTGCTGCTTCCCCCTTGAGTGGGCCCGGAGGCCCCAAGCCCTTCCTGCCCAGCCGGAGACTTCTCTTGAGAAGCCAGGTGGCCAAGCCCCACAGCCAGGATGAAGAGGATAAAGGCAGGGGCAGCCATCTGCTCCCCATGACGACAAGATGCCACAGCCCTTTCATGTTATTCCCCTCCTCTCCAGATAGGCCTTGGACCCACACTCAACCTGGACGGAAACTGAGGCCAAAAAGGTGGGGTCAACAGCGCCAATCACCAAGCCAAGTCAGGAACTGTGCCTGTGCTGGGCCTCTACTGCTGGAGGGTGCCCCTGCCCCTTAGCCAAGCCCATTGCCCCAGGGGCTCAAAAAGGCTGGGGTGGGAGGGGCTATGCAATGGTGGGCCCACCGCCCAACACAAACACACACCACCACCCCCCCACCCGGAGCAGATGGGGAGGCAGAGCTCCCCACTTGGGGCTCCCAAGGGATTCAGATGAGGGGGGAGGTGACGTAGGGCTGGGGTCAGGAAGGTGGGGGGTGCTGAGGGGACCCTCAGGAGCTGGGTGCAATAGAAGGAGCCTCCCCCACCCCGTGAGTGACCCTAGATTGAGGGCATAGGGAAGCCCCAGAAGTGGCCAACATCCCAGATTAAACCCCAACACCAGACCCACCTGCCCACCCCAACCAGCCTCAGGCCATGCAGGCCCCCAAGGCCCCAGGCCCTGAAACTGGCCCGTGCCCAAGAGCCCTGATCCAGGTCCATGGGGCAGGGACTCACGTAGTCTTGGAAGGCCTTGGCCTCATTCGAGTGCTCACACGCCTCTCTGCGGTCAGGTGCTGCACAGTACAAGTCCCAGAACACGCTGTGGGCGGCAGGGGAGGCGGGGGGGGGGACAATGGTTTCCCTAGGCATCCCCACCCAGTCCCCTTCCACACCTCCCACCAGCCCCACACGCACCACCACCAGGAATGCAGGAAGCCTGGGGGCTCCCCCAGCGTAATGTTCTTCTCCCATCGGATCTGCAGGGGAAAAGCAAGATGGTGAGGGGGACCTACTGCCCAGCCCCTCCTGACCTCTTCCAACGTGAGGCAGCCCCAGCCCAGCCTGGTGCCTGGGGAATGGGGAACCAGCCACCCCAAGCAAGGGTGCGGGGCAGGGGACAACCGTGTCAGGGGCAGAGAAGTGGGCATAGATCCTCAGTTGGCCAAACAGATGCCCTGATCCCAGCCCACAGACCCCGACCCCCCCCCAGCCCTGAGCCCCCAGAGCCAGCAGAGGAGCAACCCAACCCCACCACTGGAGCCCCAGGGGAAGGGGGTGGAGAGGACGCCAGGGTATGGGAAGTAAGGAAGGACCCTGCCTGGGGGGCTCTGCCTGGCAAGGCTGGCTTACCTCGGACAGAAAGGTCTGGGCTGACTTCTGGGCACCGACGTGCAGCAGGTACTCGTACACATACAGCGCCAACCTGCAGGCAGGGTGCCGACCAATTCAGGCTCTCTGGAGGCCTGCAGCCGTCGCCACAAGCCCCTCCCCAAGGGTCCCCGGGAGAGGGCTCGGTGAGCCCTTTCGTGACACCATCCTCAGCCTCACTCACGGCCCCTCACTGGTTCCCCAACTGCCCCCCGCCATCTCTCCCACCCTGACGTGACGCCTTCATCAGGTGCTCAGTCCTGCCAGCTCCTACACATTCGCCAACACCCAGCCGGCGGGCCCTTCATCTAGGCAGCACCCCTGCAGCCCTGACCCCTGACTTGCAAGCCACCCATTCTGCTCAGTTCCACATCCCCTCGTGGGCCAAGCCCTGGCCCTGTCCTCCCAGTGTTGAGATCCCAGAACAGCCTTCATCCTAGGACGATCTGGCCAGGAGAAAGGGCTCCTGAACGTCACTCCAGATTCTACCCTGGGTGGGGTCTCCCAGCGGGTACCTGAGGCCATGTGGCCGGGGCCCAACACCTAATTTCCTTCTGGCTTTCTCTGCTAGGGAAAGAAAGGTGCCCTCTAACCTGAGGTCTTCCTCCTCCAGATGCCCCCACAACCCCATTTTCTTTTTCAGGTCAAGAGCCCATCTACCCATGGTGGCCATGACCCAGCTCCACCAGCCTTGCAGAAGTAGTGTGGACAAGTGAGGGCAGGTGAGGGGCCATGGGGCCGGCGGTGCCACTTGGCTGCCACAGCACTGCCTTGTGGAAACACAGTGCCCAGTACTCCTGGATGGACCAGGCTGGCTACGACCTGCCCCTAGAACACAGCCACCTTCTGACCAGCAGGGTCCTCCACAGGCCACACAGGAATGCCAGGCCCTCTACACCATCTTCCGAGCCTCCACATCCTTGGCCCTGACACCCCTCCCCCATCAGTCCTCCCCACCAGCAAGCAGAAAAACTTCCTGCCTCCTGGGGTCACCCACTTCCCAACCATCCACAGTTACGGGCCCTTCCCAGTGCTCCCAGGAACCTACTGTCCATCCAGGCCCCACATAGGCTGAGAGGGTTGGTTCTAGATCCAAGACCGGGGGGCTCCCCAAGGGCTGCCCTGAGCTAGAAACCCTTCCAGGACACCTCCCCACTCAGTTGGCCACCCTTCCCTGGCTGAGGGCCCCATCCTAAAATAACCCTGCTTTGACTCATGTTCCTGTTCTCTCCCACCTTCCCAGCCAGGCTTCTTGGTCCTCACATCCCCGCTCCCCATCAGATCACCCCCCCACTTCCTCAGCTCCCCTCAGACCTTGCGGAGATAGTTCTTGCCATTCTGTCCCGGCCCCTGCTCCCTGCTCCCCCCCACTGCTTCTGCTCTTACCCTGGATCCTCTTCCTTCCTCCACCCATTTTCATTCATTCAGCACTCGCCCAGCACATTTGTGCAGTATACGTTACAGACACCTGAACCCCTGGAGGCTACCTGAGGAGTTCTATGGTAGGCGGGAAGGTCGTGCGTGCTAGGGAAGGACAAGAAGCAGATGTTTGAGGGACTGGGGTGGGTGGACCCAGGGCAAGGTGTGCCCCCCAGCTCCCATCGCACCAGATGAGCTGTGACAGCCACCAACAGGGACAGGGCACAGCGGGGCATGGCTCATGGTGGTCCCGCCGCTCCAAGTGTGGGTTTTCCTCAAGACCGGCTGTTGACTCGGCCACATCATCACTCCGCTCTCTCAGCCTCCCTGGCCCCATAGCCTCCAGGTTTAGCTGTCCAACTCACTGCTAGGATTCTCTTCCTTTTTAGAGGCTTCCTGAGCCTTCAAGCGGTCTGCATCTGCTGGCCCAGCGTCCATCAGTGAAGGAACAACGGGCTGAAGCAGAGCCGACCAGCCCAGGCCTGCCCGCCCCTTCTCCCACCCTCCGGGCAAGGAGAGAGGCTGACAGAGAGATCCAGCCGGCCCCTCACCCATTCTGGGGGTCGCTGCGGGAAGCAGGAAAGTTGATGATGAGATGCCCAGAGATAAGGGAGCAGGATGGGATGGGGAATCAAGCTAGGCAGGTGTAGGGATGGGGCAGGGGGACTGCAGTCTTGCCCTTTGGGCATTCTGGCTCAGAAAGCTTTCTGGAGAAGTGACCCTTGGCTCCTACCACATCCACCAAGGACTCAACACCACCAGCCATCAGGTCCTCCCACACCTCCCTTTTGCCCTCAACTGTTCAGGGGTGGCATGTGACCCAGGATGCAGGACCCCACTCCTGCCTGCTCCCCTCCCCCCTCCACTAGTCCTGCCTGAGCTCAACCCTGGGCCCTAGCTTCTCTCTGGGTAGCCTCCTCTCCCGCCCGGATGACATCTTTGTGCAGTTGCCCAAACTCGGGGTTCAAGTGACATCTTCAACATGCTCCCCACCAGCTTCTTCCTTTTCCACCTCCCCTGTCCCATCTGACTTGGGTAGTCTGGCCTTGACTCAAAAAGATACATGGATGCATGACTATCCACCCAGCCATCCCCCTGAGATCACTGCACTTACTGAATGTAGGGAAAATTTTTAAGGAAAACACTCTCTCTTCTGCTTTGGAGCCCTCCTCTTGCCTTCTCTACCACACTGCATCCAGGCCACTACCGCCTCTTGCTTGGATTTCAACAGGGCTCCCCCAGGGGCTACGCTCTCCCCAGCCTCCAGAGTCTCCACATACACACTCACCCTACAGCACTCCTTCAGTCCCTCCAATGGCCCAGCACACGTACAGTGGCCCCCCTCCACCCCAGGGCCTTTGCACAGGGTGTTCCCCCACCTGGGGCACTTCCACCTAGAGACCTATGTGGCTCAAATGTCACTTGGCACAGTCTTCCCTGTCACACCTCACCTCCACCTGCCCCATCCACCCTCCAATCACCTTATTTGTCCCCTTCTGACACAGGTCTCTCTGCTCACTGCCTCAGCTCCTTCTGAAACAGCTTTGGGGGGGCAGCGACTTGGTCTCTTTAGCTCACGACTGAACTTACAACAGCGCCTGGGGCCTCTTGCACCCCTAGCTACCCCAGATGCATGAACAGACCAACACGGGGACTCCCTCCTGCGAGGACAGGATTGACACAGGCAGTCAACTGGTAAGCACCAGTAAAAATCAGCTTAGTATTTTGACGTTAAGGATTTGGGGTTTTATCCCCAAAGCAAAGAGAAGCCAGAAAACATTTTAAGTTTTGTTGGTTTCTCTTAAGTGTTCGTACTCTCATTTTTACCAGGATAGAGTCTCAGGGAAGGACTGTGAGCTGTTTTGTTTTCAGGGAAAACTTTTGAAGCCTGGACATTAGACCATGCTGTTTGAGACCCCACGCAGGAGCCTCCCGCCTGAGGTGTCCAGTCCAGCCCTGATCTCAGTTACAGGGAAGGGCCTGGGGTCTGAATCCAAATCCTGGCATTCCTACCCCTAACCAGGCTGGCAAATGACCTGCGGAACAAAGAGCACACTCATGGGAGGGGCTTCTGCTGTAAGAGGACAGGTGGCTGGAAGGAACGAGTGACCTAGAGGATACGGGGTGGGGGGGGTGTCCCCAGACCCCAAGTGTTCACAGGAAGAAATGCACGCGGGGTTGCTCAGGTGACAGAATGGGACATTAGAGCCTTGGAGACTACAATGTGGTCCCACCACTGTAATGAGCAAGAACTATGGCAGGGGCGCTTGGGTGGCTCAGTGGGTTGACCCTCTGCCTTCGGCTCAGGTCATGATCTCAGGGTTCTGGGATCGAGCCCTGCATAGAGCTCTCGGCTCATCAGGGAGCCTGCTTCCCCCTTCCCCTCTGCCTGCCTCTCTGCCTGCTCGTGCTCTGTCAAATAAATACATAAAATCTTTAAAAAAATAAAGAACTATGGCAGGTAACAGAGGTTCTGAGCACGAGTACAGTGTCCTCCTCCTGCTTAAAGCCTCTGGACTTGCTCCTGGGGGCTGGGAGACGCCCTCTATTCAGGGCCTTGTATCACTTCCCAACAGAGGGACGCTCCAGCCCACGCATTTCTTTCCCCACGCCCCTTCACCCTGCTACCCTCAAGGCCAGGCCTTTGGGTGTTTCCTCACCATCTGCCTGGCAGCCTCCATGCTTGCCCCTTCTCCCAGCCAGTGGCCCGGGTGATGACCCCCACTCACGAATTCGCCCTCTGTCTTCCTCCTCCTGTTCCTTCCCTCTTCTCAAGCCCTTCCTTGGAAGCTTCCCTGTGTCCCCTGGCTCTGCTCAGCCTCCAGGACTCAGTTCAGGGGTTCCTTTCTCAAGAACCTTTTGCTCATTTGCCCTCCAAACAAGGATGCCCACAGCCACACCTGGAAGCCCGGCAAGAGACAGAGCAAACACAAGGTGATTCCCTCACCTGCTGGGCTACGGAACAAACTACCCGTGGTCAGGGGCACCTTCTCAAAACCAATCCCGGCGAAAACCACAACACACCAACCACGGTTGTCATTTACAGAACTATTTAAACCTACCTGGCAGGACTTCACGTCGGCAGAACCTCTGGGGCCACAGGGGGAAGGATATAAAGGGGACTAAGGGGACTTCCACTAACCCTGTGACCTTCGTCCTCTTATTTAAAAAGCCTCGAAACCAAGGACCAAATGCAAGTGCTAGTTAGTCCTGGGTGGTAGGTGCCCTCCAGGCTGCCCTGTAGGCTGGGAGTGTTTATTATTGGATTCACCATCCACGCACCCAGCAGGTACTCAGTCCATTTCTGGGGCAGGCTGTCCCAGACCTAGTGCTGAGATGAGGAGCAAGAAGTGGGCCCAAGACAGGGACCCAAGAAGGAAGAAGGGCAGGAGGAGGCAGAACTGCCAGCCCGAAGAAAAACAGCACCACAGAGGGGCACCTGGGTGGCTCAGTCGTTAAGCATCTACCTTTGGCTCGGGTCATGATCCCAGTGTCCTGGGATCCAGCCCCACATCAGGTTCCCTGCTCCTCAGGAGGCCTGCTTCTCTCTCTCCCCCTTCCCTGCTTGTATTTCCTCTCTCACTGTCTCTCTCTCTGTCAAATAAATAAATAAAATCTTTAAAAAACAAAAAACAAAAAACCCAGCACCACAGAGCTGAGGACCTGAGCAGTTTAGCCTCCCCACACCCCCATTTCACAGAGGAAGAAACCGAGGCCCGGAGACAGGAAGTGGCTCTGCTGGTGGCTGCCTGTGTGCGGTGCCCTCCCTGCAGCCTCTCACCCCTGTCCTTGTAAGAATCCTACAAGGCCGGTTGTCCATATTTCAGAAACCGATGCTCAGAGCAACCAGGTATCCTCTCCAGGGTGCCCTCCCCCCTCCCGCCTTCTGAGATCTCTCCCGCGCCCCAGACCCAGAGACCTCCCTCAGCAGACCGCTTCCTCTCCAGGGCTCAGGCACCCCCACGGATGAAATACGGGATGTGACCATCTGGTGTTTTCTAAACTTTCTTTAGCAGCAGAACCCTATCTCCAAACCAAGGCTCCGATGGGACCCTCTCGAAGAAATGGACAAGCACAGGACGGGTCTGGCCACCCACGGGGGCTGGAAAACAGGCACGACGGGGCCTTTAGTCCCCGCAGGAGGTGTTTTTGCAGCAGATCCCAGAGTCCTCCCACTGTGAGCCGTGTGGTCTCCCCAAAGGACCCACCCAGCCGCCAGCGCGGGGCTGGGGCCTCCAGCCCTCACGCCCTCTCCTCGCTCAAGCTCTTCCCGACGTGCAGGGGTCCCCAACTGGTCAGACCCCCACCCCACCCCACCCCATCCACGGCCCCAGCAACTTCGCTGGAGACCGGGAGATGACGCTCCGGGGCGCGACCTCGCGCGCACGCGCGACCGCAAACCAGCGCACCCAAGACTCGACGGTCGGGGAGGTCGCGCGCCCCCTCAAATCCTGCGCCCACGAGTCTCGCGCGCCCCCGCAATGTCGCGACCCCTCCAGCGGGTCGGGTCTCCGCAGCCCTCGGGATTCACGCGCCCCTTCAACTCTCACGACCTCTCGGCTCTCGCGCACCCCGCCCCCTCCAAACCTCACAACTCCTGACGCCCCTCGCGCCCCCCGGAGTCTCACGCGCCCCCTCAAATCTCGCGAACTCTCAAGCACCTCACATGCCTTCGATCCAGCACGCTCCCACATATCTCGCGACCCCTCGAGCCCCTCCGGCCTCGCGCGCCCCTCAAATCTCGCGCCCCTCGGGTCTCGCGCGCCCCCGCAAATCTCGCGACCCCTCCAGCGCGCTCGGACCCCGCACGCCCTGCCCCCGCGCCCACGTGCCCCGCGCGGTGCCCGCCGGCATTGGGGCCCACGGAAGCTGCGCGGCCGCCGAGCCCCGCCCCCGGCTCCCGCGGCCCCGGCCCACCGACTCACTTCTCGCGGGCCTGGCTGTCGGAGGGCACGGCCGAGCCCTTGCCCCCCTTGGCGTACATGCTGCTCCGAGCCGCCGCCGCCGCCGCCGCCGCTGCCGCCGCCGGGGCCCACACCTGTCAGGCGGCACCGCGGGCCGCGCTAGCGGTCGCCATAGCTACCCCGCGCCCCGGGCCTCACCGCCCCGAGCCCCGCGCGGGCACCGTGGGCATCGTCCGCGCGGGGGAGCTCCAGACTGCCAAGGCGGCGGCGGCGGCAGCGGCGGCAGCTCCAGCTTCAGCTCCAGCCACGGGTTTTATTTTCTTCCTCTCTTCCCTCGGCGCGGGCTGTTCCGGGAAGCGCGCGCCCCCTCCTCCCGCCGCGCGCGCCCCCGCCTGCCGCCTCCCTGCCGCCCGCGGGCGCCGCTCTTAAAGGGGCGATGGCGGGCGCGCGGATGGGTCCCTCTGTGGGGACCGTGGGCCGGGCGCGCACGCGCAGTGCCCGCCGCGGGCGGGGGGGCGGGTACACACACGCAGGCACGGGTGGGGACGGCCACCTGGGGACACGCAGCAGGATACAGCCGATCACGGCTACACGCACACTCCTCAGATAGGACCAGCCCCCCAAATTGTACGCCCAGGAACACAGCCACACACAGTTGCAGCTACACTCTCGGACACCAAACTACACACATAGATCCACACAGCTCCTGGAACAACCGGTGAGAGTTTCATAAAGCAATAGGCAGTCACAGGGGGTACCACCCCGCAGAACTACCCCCACGCAGCTTGAGAGGGAACGCCACACATACAGCTCACCCAGGGACACGTTGTAATATACACAGAGGTATACACAGTGGCTATCAGAACAACAAAACACACAGATCACCACTCACATAGACACACAGCCAGAGAGACACACGGAAACTCAGCTATGCTGCAGCTTCGGACAAGCTGTGGAAAGAGCCCATGCAGCTACTTACTGTCACCCTGGGCCACACGGTCACCCTGGGGAACACAGTCGCAGCCTACCCGGGGCTCCACGCACAGACCTGGGGTCTCCCAGTGCCATAGATGAGTCAGCGTCACACAGTCACATGGCTCGTGGACACTCACACACATGCAACACAAAGACAACCACACGGGGCGGGGGGGGGGGGGGGGGGGGCGGATACCTGGGTCACACCCTGGGAGCCACCCTGCCGGGCCCCAGAGTCACACCCTCTGTCAATAGTAGCCGCTGGGTGATTGTCAACTGGGTCATTTCTTGCTGCCATTTCTCAACTTTTGTGTTGGCTGCTGTAAATGGGGCTCATCCCACCTTTAATTGCCCCTCTGCAGGAGTCAGGAATCCATTCCCCCTCCTGGGGCCCTTCTCCCTCCAGAGGGTGTGAGATGGGGGGGCAGACGCAGAGATAAGGGCCCCAGGGCAAGGGTGCTTGGAAGGGGTGGCCGCCTCTGCCGGGACCTGCCTGCACCGAGGATGGGGGAGGCAGACCAGTTGTGATTCCAGGTCTGGATGTTTCTGTGAATACTTGACATGGGTGTTCGTTTTTCCTGTGCCATACTGCGAGTGTGTGTTTGTGTCTGTGTGTGAACATGCAGTTCCTGTGTGAGTGCACGTGTGCCTCGGTATGCCTGGGGGTTGGCAGGTACCCAGTGAAAGGTTGCTGTCTGGTCTACTGGCCCTGGCGCTGTGGCCAGTGATCGAGTGTCCTTGGTGCTTGTGGGGGCCCCAGTGACGCCGCCAGCTTACGTTCACAAGTGTGTGTGCATTGCGTGCGTGTGCCTGTGCTTCCGCGCGTGGGTTGATTGCTAGCTCTTTGGGACCTGCATTGGGTGGTTGTGTGCTAGGGTTTCCTGCGTGGTGCGTGCGTGTGTGTATGTGTGTGTGTGTCTTGGGAGTACCCCCCTCCCATTGCGAGCTGACCCCCGGTTATACCTCCCTTTTAGAGGCCGCACCCCCCAGTGGGGATCCCCACCCGTCAGGCCTTTTGGCGGCCGGGAAGTCGGGAGACGCTGGGGTTCCAGACAGACGGAGAGGAAGGGAAGGGCCAGGCTGGCCCCAGCCCCGCCTCCCTCCCGAGGGGCCTCGGCCGGGGTTGGAGGGGGACGCCAGCCCTTCCCACTTCCTGTCCAGCCGGTCGTCCCCTCCCCCAGCTTCCTCTCCCGCAGCACCCCCGCCCCCCACCCCAGAGCCCGGGCCCGGCTTAGAGGAGGGGCCTGTGCTGCGAAGTCGTGGGGGTGCGACCGCCAAGCTTCTGTAGGGCCTCCAGCTGGGAGCGTCAGCGCCCCGGACGCCACGGGTGGACATGGGAGTCAAGGGACCCTCATCGGAATACCCGCTCCCAGTACCACTCTCCAGTGCCTACTTTCAACGAGACGTAGAGACAGGGTGCCTCACCCAAGTCACACTCTGTATTGGTGACAACTGTGACACCCAGGCCTTGCGGACGCTCCTCCTACCACCCCCTATTTATATCCCAAAGCTCCGTGGCTCCCCAGGATTCTGTGTCCAGCGTGGGTCCCTCGCCCTCTCTGAGCCACGGTTCCTTGAGTCGTTGAATCCAACCTCCCACAAACATTTATTGAGCGTCTGTTGTATGCAGGGCTCTGGAGACCCAGGCAGGACGCGTTGCTACTGCTTGTGGAGCAGAGATTCTGACGGGGAAGGCTGACCGTCAAAAGCTGGCGAGTCAGTAGGATAATTTCAGGGAGTACCACATGCTAGGCAGAGGGAGGAGTTCCCGGTGGAGAGGACCAAGCAACGGGCGAGTGGGCCCGGATCCCGGAGCAGGGTGGAGGAGAGGGGAGAGAAGGAGGGAGACGGAGGCGCGAGCTGCGAAGGGGGAGGCGCGGCCGGTTGGAGCGACAAGCGCGGTTCTCATGGCAACGGGGACGGTTCTCCAAACAGCCTCGGTGCCGGCGGAAAAGTCCGAGAAGAGCGAGCTCTGGGCCCCACGCGGCGTCAGGGAAGCTGAGCCGCAAGCACACCCAAACAGGGCGCACGCTCAGCAAAAGCCAAACCCACAGAAGAGGCCCCCCGCCCCCGCCCCCATGCGAGGGAGGAGCATGGGAGGGGAGGAAAGTTTTGTTTTGTTTAGTAAGGGGAGGGGTGGATCTGAAAGATCTGAAAGCAAAATGTTCAGACTGCAGTCACAGAGGTGCAAAGGCCCTGAGGTGGGTGCACGGTTAAGGTGTTGGACGCAGAGCGAGGAGGGCAGTGTGGCTGGAGCAGGGGGAAGGGGGAGCCGGATCACTCCCGAGGGGACGGGTTGAGAGTTGTTCCATGAGCAATAGGGAGCCACGGGAAGGTGTGTAGCCATGAGGGGCTGGATAGGCAACAGGATTTTTCGGAAGCTCCGTGGGGCTCCTAGGTAGACTGGAGTGGCATGGAGGAGGCAGGAGGTTCCCCCGGTAAGAGGCCCAGGCAGACCGGCGCTCTGGGCCATGGCAGGCCCGGGAATTGATTAAAGGGCCCGGGTGGGGACCGCAAGCAGAAAAGGCTAAGCGTCTAGGATGGATCCCAGACCCGCCATCTCTCCACCAGCTCCCGATCGCCCCCGTGTGGCTGCGCGGGCACTGCAGCCTTGAGCCGATTCTCTCTGCCTCTTGGGATTACCACCCGGCTGGGGGCTGTTCCTGGGGAGAGCCTGAAGCTGGCTGTGCTTGTAGGGCTGGAGGGTTGCCTGGAGGGGAGGCTGTCCCTCCCCACTTCGTTCCAGTCCTTCCCACCTCACGGTCTTTGCCCTACCTGTTCCTGCTGCCTGGAGGGCAGTTTGGCTCCAGGCTTGGCCTATTCTAGTTCCTTCTCCGCCCCCCATCCTCTCCCTCCTTCCCCTCTTTCTCCTCCCCTCCCTTCTTCTTGCCTTCCTTGGGCATCTCCCCTAGATCACAGACTCTGCACTGGCCTTGGTTGGATTTGTCACTGTTACGATAAAATGATGCATCAGATAATCTGAGGGCAGCCTCCGCCTCCCACTGGATTTGTCCTCCCTACGGACCCAGCTCTTGCGGCCGGTGAATATGTTGCAGGAGTCGCTCGGAAGTCGGCTTTGGGTTTTCCAAATGATGGTTATTCCTCTTCACTGGAGATGGAAGCAGCGCCCCCCACCTCCCTTCTCATTAAAGTGGCAGGCGTGGGGAGGGGCCGGGATCCGGAGGGCGGCTCCTGCAGCCCCGCCCCGGCCCTGCGTGGGAGGCGGGCCACAGCTGGGAGCAGGGCCTGGGCCCTGAGATGTTTCCTCGCAGAAGCTGTAATTACGGGTAATTTTCTAACTGCAACACAAAAATTAAAACCCAAACAACACCGGGAAGGGAGAAGCCGCAGCAGCCGGTGAGCGCTAGAGCAGGGGTGGGAGTTCCCGCCCTGGCGGGAGGACTAAGGCCCCCAGTCCAGGAATGCTGGGGTAATGGGAGGCAAAGGCTCCCTCAGATAGGGTAGGATACTAGAAGAGGCAGCAACCCCTTGGAGTTTCAGGTTCCTGTATTCCCAAGACGGATTAACCAGAGGCAGAAGTCCTCCGATGGAGGATGAGCCTGGGTTTGAATCCTGGCTGTGCAGGTCCGCTTGTGAGTCTCTGAGCAGGGGAGGACTGAACTCCCAAGTGTGCAGAGCTGGGAGGAACCCAAGCGAGAGAAGGGACCCAGCAGGACTGGGAGGAGGAGCCCCAACCAAACCCACAGTGCCGGCCCCTGCCCCAACACCTGTGTCCATCCTCCACAAGGCTTAGCCTGAGCCAATAAGCTGCCCTGCTTCCAGTACTTTCTGTGGGCTCCGGCGCCCACAAATTAAGTCCCTGCCTCTTTTTCCTGCACTTGAATTCCAGAGCCAAACCAATCATTAGAAACTGGTGTGCTCAGTCCGGGATCAGAGCATCCCTGGGAAATCCATCCTGCAGCCTCATTGGAGAGGCAGCCTATCTTCTCCCCGTGCTATAGAATGGGGAAACTGAGCCCTGAGAGGTACTGAGGGAGTCACATGGGTGACCCAGAGGCAGCACTTCACCCACTGTCATGCCTGCCCTGCCCTGTCTGCGTCTGGGAAATTGGAGGCATTTTGTGGAAACCTCAGGCCTAGGGGG